TCTTACCAAAACTAAATTACACTGTTTCATTAAATAAGTCAATCCAACACAAAAACTCAAGAAGTTCTTTATACCTGTGAGAGAGAAAGTTAATCTGTTCATTGAAAAAGGTGACTCATCCTCTGTCATCCAGCAGGAAAAAATAAAAGCAAGGAACAACAAAGAAATTATTGGCATCTCATGCACAGCAAATAATGTGGATGGGTCAGTTTTTTGATTTCAATGTACATCCAGGAAAGTGAACAGGGGGAACTGGTGTCATTCCATTGCCTTTAGTTTCAGCCTGTTTGTTTTGCAGAAGTGGTCACTGGTCTTACTTGTTTTACCACTTAGCCTCATCTCCGTTTCTGTTGGCACCAGTTGCAGTCCATTTTTGCTGTGAAGTGACTCCAGATTCAAACCAGTTTTACCTCTACTGACCCTAATGAAATGAATCTATTGCAGTGTAGAGGTTCTAGAATCATATGTGATTATACCTGTTTACATAGGTTTACAACCCATCTGTACTGATGATCAGTATAATTCTAAAGCTTCAGTGGAGTGATTCCAGGTTGACTCCATTGACTTTGAATTCAAACCCATTTTTCTATAGCAGTTGTGGTAGAAAGAGACTCCAAAAATCAATTCACACCAATATATCTGAAAAAAGGATCCACTCCAGATATATCAACACTGCATTAAAATACAAGCAAGCACCAAACATCACTTCAGGTGGAAACATCTGCAACCCCACTGCTCACCATTCCTGCTCCTGTTTTCTCTTTTGAAATCCTTCATCAGCAGCTCTTACTCCAACAGTGCTTTCCTGTTTGTACAGGCCTCTTACAGCACAGTACCTTTGGGAACTGTCTGCCTAGTAGACATACCAATCTGTCCTTGCATACTATGTCCCTCTTAGAGATAAATAAAGAACATAAGAGGTGCCATGCTGGATAAAATGAGAGGTCCATCTAACTCCATAAGAATGTGAGAAGAAACCTGCTGAATCAAACAAAGGGTCCATCTAGTCCAGCATTACTTCTTCAACATGTATGTCAGAAACTTCTAGGAAGCACACAAAGCAGGGCAGCAACACAACATTCAGAGATATGCTGCCTCTCTGCACATGGGAAGTTTCATTTAGGCCACAATCCTATACACCAAAAATAGGCAATTTATGGTCTTCCAGATGTTTCGGCCTACCACTTCTATCAGCTCTAGCCAGCATATCCAATAATGCAAGATGATGAAAGTGGTAGGCCCAAGCATCTGAAGAGCCACAAGTTTCCTGATTCTGCTATATGCACTTACCTGGGAACATGCTAGAGAATTTGAGGAGGAGAGATCAGCATCGAATAAGAATCATTCCCACTGTTTCCTCTGAATGTGCTAGAGGACTGAGGAAGATGGGAAGGAAATCTCAGGCTTTGCTTAGCTTTAGAGGAGATAGACAATTTAGCCTGCCTAAAGCACACTGCCACTTAAGATTGCTCCCATGAGTTCCTTATACATTGCAGAGTCCTCATCCGTTCTTCTCAAGAAATGATGAGAAAGGAAAAGATTAGGGAGCTTTCCTGCAGCTAAACAGCATGTAGCCAGCCAGCCATGCTGACTGGAAATAGTGGAGGTTTCAGGTCAACATGTCTTGGGGAGAGAACAGATTGGGGAAAGCTGCCCTGTGGTTGCCTGAAGCAAAGCAAAATGACCAGCAATTCCATGCTGTCTCTTTGTAGTAGATGAGGAAAGGGAGGTAAAGTGAGGCATACACTGCTGAGGGTTGGAGGGGCCTTTGATAAGAGTAGAGGGGGCTGGCTTCCCACATTTCCCAAGCCATCCCTGAATCCAGATTTCTGGAACAGGCCCCAATGCAAACCACAGCATCAGACCTTGCTATTTAAAAGACAGCTTGTACCATTTAGCTTACAGGAGCAAGCTAGGATGGATGCAGCTTCCTCAACATCATGTCTGACTTGCAAGCCAGTTTTTAGCTCTGCCACATTGTGAAGGTTTGCTTTCAAGAATCAAAACTCAGAGCTAATAAAAAGCTGGTCCAGGGCATATGTTGGAGGACCCTCCCTCCAACATGGCTAGGGATCAATGATCCCAGTGGGAGCGGTGTTACACAGAAGTAGGCAACACACAGCTTACAGAATGTCTTTTGGCCACACTTTCTCCTGGAATGGCTGGCTTGGGTCACCACATGAAAGCAGCAATGGACTGGGGTGTCCCTGGAAAGGCTGTGGTGACCTAGCTGCACCCCGTGGGCTTCATGCGGCTGAGAGTATGAGCTGGGACGTTCCTGGTTCAAATATCAGCTCAGGCTTGAACTTGCTTTGAGGTCATAAGAAAAGTTGCTGTCTCTCTGCCCTCCCCTTCATCTCTTGCTTCCTTTCCCAGGCCTTGAAACATGGCCCTATCTTTATGGTTCACAGAGACAGAGCTTGAGACAGATCAGTGTTCAGAGTGGGGCTGGGGTGGGGGTATAGGATAGTTTCATTTTGCTTTAGCCCAAATTCTAATGCATCTGAGGAAAAGGAAATGGAAGAGGAAGGTTTTAGGTCCACCTAAAAGGAGGGGGATAGCATCCCAACTTCCATCTCAGCTCACTTAGAGCACTGGGCCAAATTATTACAGTGTCAGGGAGACGAAAGAGCACCACTGGGTGAACATGCAAGATTTAACCAATTTAACCCACAAAACATACATTAAATGAGAGATCAGAGGCTATTCCTTTCCTAGGAACCTGACTTGGTTTTAAGGCTGCCTCACTGAGAACTTCTTGGAAAGGTGCCTCCCACACACGCACACACAGCACAAACACTCGTGAGTTCCCGGCTGCCATTTTTAATTTCCATAATACCTCAAGTGCCCAATGTAGCATCATGCCAGGATATGTGAGGAAATCTAAAACAGTGGGAGACAGCTAGTTCCACTTGCCTACTGCAGGAAACCCAGAGTTGGCAGCAGTGGCAGGCCCAATTTCAGCACCTAGCATCTCCACCAGGGTTGAAACCTTCCCTGCTTGAAGCTTTGTGGCCATCAGATCCCCTGTGGGGCTTTGCTGCTACTGTCTGCCACCACTAGCAGCAATGCCAGGCAGGTGGTAGTTGTGCTGCAGAGATGAAGTTGTCAATCCCTCTCCTGCCACTGGATAGGAATACCCAAGGGCAGCAACACTTTTGGGGTGGCAGCATATGACAATGGCCTACTTAAGCCTGGTGCCGGCCTTACTCAGTTACACTGATTTGCCTGGGATCACAGACTGTCGAGTCATGAGGTGGGAAAAGCCTCAGAAGTACTGTACTTGGGGCTCCACACAACATAAGCCTGGGTCTGGATACCTCCATTGATCAATGTAGCACTGGGTTCCACAGAGAAGGTGGAAATAAAATCCAGGAGTAGATCTAAGTTTCAAAAACTACACTTAAGTAGCCATCAACTACAACTGTCCCCACACATCTTAACCTCCAGCTCCTAAACAGTTATTGCTAAAAATAATTATTTTGTAAACCAACATTATATTTTGTCCATAAGCTTCACTGGGAATGCTGACTGCCATTGAAGGTATAGGGTATAAATTTTAGACATTAAAAATTGTGTCAAGTTTTGCTCAGGAATTGGATCCCTTTGGCTCTTGCTGTAAGCATCCCATTTGAGTTAGAGCCACTAGTGTTTTGATCCCTTGCTCTGGTCAATGAATTAGGCATGTGGGGCTCTTCTGGCTGAGGCTTGCATGTCAGTTTTAAAATGGCCCATGGTAAAACTCAGCCAGATCTCTTCCCCAGGGTTAGCTCCAGGTCTGAGGAGGCCCTGGACAAAGTACTCATTGATGAGCCTGCTTCTCTGTCAGTGGGCCTATTCAGTGGCAAAGGTTGGCAGCAGTGCCAGGTGGCCCAGACATCAAACCATCCTTTTAATATCCCACAATGTCCCAGAGCAACACAACATCAGGCACTGCAGAAAATTAAAATGGAGGTTAGCGCACGCTACCCCACCCTGCTCAAAATGCTGGTCAGGAAAAGTGTGCCTTTGAAGGAGGGCCCAAGGCAGGCGTCAGGAGCTCCCCATGATGGTGTGCCATTGTTGGTCCTGCTCCCTTCCCAAGCAATTCTTTCTCACACACACACACACACACACACACACACACACACAATACACACTGCCACATGGAAATAGGCCCCTTTTCTTTCCCTCACCCTTTCCATCACCAAGAAAGAAAGCAAGGAGTCACACTGCCTTTTTACTACCACTGCTGCCTCCATGCAGTCCCCAAACCCTCTTGCACTAAGCCTTTATATGTCACTGGAATAGCCCACAGAGATAGGGCCATAGCCAGATTATTAGAAGCTGAAGGAAGACAAAAGAGGTCAGTGACAAGGTGAGAAAGATTTGGGTTTGGTTTTTCAGTCCCATGCTCTGAACAAAATGTCTGAAACAAAGTTAGCAGCAAAACACAACTCATAAGTAGGCGTAGAGCTGTGAGATGCAGTAAGTGACATAATCGGAGATATGTGAATATAGATGCTGTTGTCCAATGTCTTCCTTTACACACACACCCAGCACCTAACTGGCAAGGACTCCACACGTGTCATTACACACACACAGGCAACTCCAGGGTTTTGCAGGGATTCAAAGGGGAAGATTTTCCTGCACCTTTTCCCATAAAACTGTTTCCAAGATTTCTCACCGCAAAATAAATTGTTTAAAAATCAGGCAATGACATAATTTCCCTTGCTTCCCCATCCCACCCACTCTGCCCATTTTATTGTCCCAAGGTTGTTGTCACTGATTAAGAGATTGAGGGAGAGAAAGAGAGAGAGAGAGAGAGAGAGAGAGAGAGAGAGAGAGAGAGAGAGACTGGATAACAAACTGTCCCTTTGGATTTGTGTCTCCTAAGACACCGCTTCCTACTGGCCAGGAGCAATAACAGTCTGTATACTGGGCCAGTTTTTTCTGCCCCCTCTCTCCCCAGAGGAGGGGTATATGTGTGTGCTCTCATCTTGTTGCCCTAAGGCCACTGTTTATAATGCTTGCGTCTGCAGCTCGACAGGTTCCCCAGGTGGCTCTGGGGGAGCACTGGTTTCAACTGGCCGGTCCCCTTTGAGGATAGACAGGCGCTCTGAGATGCCACGCATCCTGGGGAAAAGGATGAAGTCATACAAGAAGCCGCCCAGCACTCCGCCAATGATGGGTCCAACCCAATACACCTGGAAAGAAAAAGAAGAAAGACATGGAAAGGGGAAGCAATGAGAAATAGCACTGCAGGGAAAGAACATGGCTTCCAGATGCTCTTTGAGGTTTCGTTCAAAAGGTGGTAGAGTGAGTTGGAAGAGGTGGGGACATGGAGGGCCCTATCCTTAGGCAGAGTGAGGTGACTGCCTCAGGCAGCAGATGGGATGGGGAGTGGCAATAGTTGTTGTAAGGCGGGGTGTCTGCTCCATTTTGTCTGCTTGCTGCCCTGGAGAGCAGTGAAAGATGGTGTCCCATTGCAGTCAGATTCAACTGCCAGTGCATTCAGTATCGCTAGGTGGAAAGGTGAGGGGCATCACCTGGCCCTTTGCCTCAGACAGCAAAATGCCTGGAATCACCTCAGACTGCAGCAGGATGGTGTGCAAAGGCTATGAGCATAGCAGAGTGGGGCGGGGAGCTTCTCTACACAAGGCTTTTAAACCCGCCACTTTACTGAGATTTCTATATTCTATATTCTATATTCTTCGCAGGATTAAGATTGGCTGCTTTACAAGTGCTGGTTTCTTTCTCTTCCTTTCTATATTATATAGAAAGACAGAGAAAGATTATACAAACAAAAGGAGGCACTGTGGTATACACACTGAGAGCCAGTGTGGTGTAGTGGTGAAGAGCATGGGACTGGGACTCAGACGATCTGGGTTCTAGTCCCCGCTCAGCCATGGAGCCAGCTGGGTGACTTTGGGCCAGTCACAGACTCTCAGCCCAACCTACCTCACAGGGTTGTTGTTGTGGGGATAAGGTGGAGGAGGAGAATGATGTAAGATACCTTGAGCCCTTTGTAGGAAAAAGGCAAGATATAAATAAAAAAATAAATAAATATGTGCGAAAATGCTCCAGCTTCTCATAGCACAATTTCTAAGTAATACCAGGCTTTCCTCAGTCTAAAAAAATCTGGAAATGGCTGCAAAGCACAGGAGAAGCACTGAGGATGATGGCATCATGTAAAGCATCCACAAACTACCACAAATGAGGAATTATGAGCAGGCAATAAATGTCTCTCATAGAAAAGCTCTTAAATTCAGTACACTTCCTGCTGTACTAGTTTATGCTGAGAATCAATAAAAAATATGCCCTCATGCATGGATTTCATGCAGTCTCTAATGGTCCAGAAGTTTACCAAGACAGGTCGTTTTCCACACTAGAGCCCTTTTGGTGCCTCTGAGGTGTTCCATTCCACAACTAGCTGGAAGTGTAATTAAATTGTACGTTCCAGTAATGGAATAGCACTATTTCGCAACAAAAAATGAAAATGAAAAGAAAAACAAATAAAGGAAATCAACAATCAGAGTCCTCCCTTCATCCCTGAACAGAAACAGATATAAGGACAATGAAGGGAGGCTGCTGAAGGAATCATGGAATCATAGTAGAGTTAGAAGGGGCCATGAAGGCCATCAGGTCCAGCCCCCCGCTGTTGCAGGACACCACGTTACACCATCCCACTCAGATAGCTGCCCAGTTTCTTTTTTAAATGTCTGTAGTGTGGGAGAGCCCACCTCTCCACAGGCAGCTGGTTCCACTGTCATATTGCTCTGACAGTGAGCAAGCTTTTCCTGATGTCCAGATTGAACCTGGGTTGCCGCAGCTTGACTTAATTATTCTGTGTCCTACACTCTGGCATCAGCGAGAAGAGATCTTGACCTTCCTCTTTTTGATAGCCTTTGAGGTACTTATAGTGGGATATCATGTCCCCCCTCAATCTTCTCTTCTCCAGTCTTTCCTCATAGGGCAGTGTTTCCAAAACCTGGATCATTTCTGTTGCCCTCCTCTGGCCCCTTTCCAATTTTTTGGCATCTTTCTGAAATCTTGGTGCCCAAAACTGGACACAATATTCCAGATGAAGTCTGATTAGTGAGGCATATAGGGGAACTGCTACTTGCTGTAGTTTGGAAGTAATACTATTAATGCATCCCAAAATATCATTTGCCCTTTTTGCAGCTGCTTTGCATTGTTGGCTCATATTAGCCTGTTGTTCACAATTTAAAGGGGCAGCATATAAGTCTATTCATCATCAGTCCTCTGCCTGCATTGATCAAGGAGCAATTAAATTAAAACTAAAAAGGGAAATCATTTTAATTAATGGCAATGGAGCACTTGAAAGCATCTATAACACTTTCTTGTCCACACTAGAGAAGCTGATGTTTGTAACCCACCCAGAGAATCAATTTGGCTAATGGGTAGGATAGAAATTTAATAAATAAATAGACAAAAAACTGCATTTTACTATCAGAAGTTGCCATAGAGCAAAACTTTAAAAGTACAAAACAAAAAACAGTGGAATACAGTGTGCTCCCAATGATGTCACCTGGATTCTTTACATAAGGGGAGGTACCAATTGTAATCCTCGTAACAGAGGATTACAATTCCCGAGAAAAAGACAGGTAGAGAAGCAAGTATCTATTCCCTCATTCTGCACTATTTCCAGACCCAAGGACTCCTAGTGCTACCAGTCAAAAGGATTTGTGTAGCCATTTCAACTTTCCTCCTCAAACTTTTTTTTCTTTTTGAGGCATAAACAAATAAAGAGAATAAACAAATGAAGAAACAGGAAAAGCAGTGGGGAAACATAGGCAGGCTACAAGTGGAAAACGTTGTCTTGGCATAAATACATAAATTCTGTGATTGAGGCAGAGCAATTGCACAATAAAAGTCTTGTGTGGAACCATCCTAAGACAGACTTTTTTTTTCTTCAGAGGATGCATTTTTCGAGACAGATGGCTACTAAGTGCTACCAATTACAAGGCTCTATGGAAATATTCTGTTGTCTTCTTCTTAGTAGATTTTCTCTTAAGTTTTTCTCTTAATTGGGATTTTGTTTTTTGTTTGTTTAGTCTCAGAGTTGTGCCGACCCATCACAACCCATGGACAACATTCTTTCAGGCAATCCTGTCCTCCACCAACCCTCAGAGTCCACCCAAGCCTACACCCACTGCCCCAGTGACTCCATCTAGCCACCTCATCCTCTGCCGTCCCCTTCTACTTTTGCTGTCAATCGTTCCCAGCTTCACAGAACCATTGATCCAAATACTCCCTTGAAACAGACCCAGCAATTTAACTCCCATGCCCAATCTGAACACAGAGTGATCTGCTAGCTGTCCTGTCCAGTGCTGCCTGGATGAATGGAACTGAAATGGTTGGTTGATGTCCCTGGTATTTTGGGGGTGGTGCAGGGGATGCCCTAGAATGTATGGAGGAGGACCTTCGTGGGTGAAGGGTTAGTCAGCCTGGAGATTTCTCCACAACCCTTAGTTTGGCATATTGCTACACATCTGGTCATGTAAACCTACTTTCTTACCCCCAGAAACCTCCTTCTTACCCAATGGTTGGTGAAGTTGCGTGTGATGACGGCAGGAGCAAAGGACCGTGCGGGATTCATGCCAGTTCCTGTGTAATACATCTGCAAGAGAGTAGGGTTAGGATAGAGAAACCAATTCTTCTTGTTTCTCAAGCCATCCCTGTGTCCCTGAACCTCAAGGTGATTCAACCCCCTTTATAATGGCTTGTTGGGATTCAAATGAAATAGTCTATTTGTCTCAGTTCAGAACACTCTCATAGGAATTCAAGTCCTGTGCAAAACTGAGGGACTATAGACACGGCAATAATTCATTTTGTGAGTGTTTTCATCCTTATTCCTTTGCTTTTATTCCCAGATAGATGCCACTTTGAAAAGCAAGATGGAAATCCTTTTAACGTTGTTTTATGAGTTCCAGCTGCCAGGAATCTCTACAACAAAAGTATTTCATATATCACAGAAAGTTGGAAGAATAGCCACATAGGCTTGTGTTAAGTGTGAGGCAGGCAGTGCTGGGAGAAACTGATCCGAGATGCAGAGGCCAGTGAGGCTGGTCAGGGTGGAGATGGTTTAGTCCCACCCTTCCTTGCCATGCAGAGGTGTTCTTGTTGGGAGCATAGTTGTGCTTCTCACATACTGAGTCATTACCCCAAAGAGGTGTCCAAGGGTGAGGGAGAAGCCCACAGCCAGGGCCACGGATCCCATGCGCCCATTCCGTCTCTCATCATAGGTGGCAAAGATGCAGAGTACAAACTGCAGGGTCAGGAAGATCTCCACGATGGTTGCTTGGCCTACATTTACACTGGGATGCATCTGCAGCCAGGTAGACACAGAAGGATAGAAGTATAAGGGAACGGCAGAAGTCCATACCTCCTTTCATCCCCCACTAGTCTGAGCCCTCAAAATATTTCAGCAGTGTAATTAACATTGTTCACCTTGCTTGTTCACCTTCCATATTGAGGGCAACATTAGTTGTACCGATCCAATGCCTAGCAGATGTTAATGGAACTAAACAAAATTTGGCTGTGGAGAGTTTGATAAAGCGTGAAGTAGGCAGCTACCAAAACTGGCCTGAGGTATTTTGCTCACCAAGCCAAGGAACAGATGCTACCCACTTCCATTTCATGTGAAACAACCAACTGGATTGGCAGTTGAATCTCTCTTCAGCACTGGTGATGCAGCAGCATCCTCCATGGAGGGCAGCAAGCTAGCTTAGGGGTACAAAGCAGGCCACGTGGCACAGATCTTCTTTTCTGGTACCTTGCTGCCACCTTCCAGCATCTGCTGGACACGGCAACTGCCTCGCTCTGCCCAATGCAAGGCAGACGGTCACCTTCTGCTAGACCTGGCTCCAGTCGAATTAGAAGCTGAGCAAGGCAAGGCAGAAATGGAGTTGGGTATACTAGGGGGAGCGGGGCGGGTGGGGGGGGAGCCAGAGGGTAAAAACAACAACACTAGGGAGCCAGAAGCAGAATCTCCAAGACACTTAAACCAATGAGACAGCCAGTCGGGGACTATCACCTGACTTGTGCTGGTTTATTGGCATAAATAATCTTTCTCCTTTGGCCATAGATGCATGGTGATCAAATTCCCACCTGTACAGATGCACCAAAGGCTCAAATCATAACACCATCTTGCTGCTTTAGATCCCCCTATCTATTGGGTTCATGTAATTTATGAAACTAATTCATTCAAATTAGTGCTGATGTGCTTTTAATCTTCACAGAATCTATGATCCATGCTGACTTAGTAAGCAAATATATATTTGCATAGAATAATTTAGTTGGTGCAGACTCAAAAAGCCATACAATCTGCCTGCCTCATTTCCACCTAAACGCAGAACCATCCATTTACAATTGCACCAGAGATCAGCCTATGCAATTCAGTTTAGCTTGTAACACAAGCAGAGAGTGGATATAGAATTACAGAGTTAAATAATGCAGGAAAACTGCTACAACAGCATCCCCAACAAAAAACCCTGCATCCCTGCTTAAAAATCTCTGACAGAGGAGGCTCCACCCCTCTCTAAAGCAATTTGATCCACGGTTGAACTGGCTCATACCTTCAGGAAGCTTAATATTTAGTCAAAATCCTTTGCCTTGTAATTGAACCCCTTGGTTTAGGTCTTGTTCTCTGAGCAAGAGAGAATATATTTATTGCATCGTTGGTTGTGGAAAGCTGCAAAATACCAACACTGGATGGAACCAATGCAGGAGTTAGTTCCTGAGTCTGATGGAAGTTGGGAAGTTTGGAAATCGTTGAATAGACTGCGTACAGGTACAAGATCTAGAGTTGCTCTGAACAAATGGGGTTTTTCGCTGACTTCTGCCCTTTGTGATTGTGGTGACATGCCAACAACAACACATATGTATACCTGCCCTTTGCGCTCAGATCAGTGCACACTTGATGATCTTATGGCAGCATGACATAATGCAATTAATGTTGCTAGCTTCTGGGCTAGATCTGTTTAGCTTATATATTTTTCAATTTTACATTTTACAATTTAAATTTATTGTTTTATAATAAGTTCTAATCTAATATGTTTTCTAACATGCCTTATTTTAATTATGATGCTTCTGACACAAATAAAGAAAGATCATTGGTTCAACAATTATTCAAATATTGGAAAGTTGCTATGATATCCCCTCTTAAGCATCTCTTTTTCAGGCTAAACACAGCCAGCTGCTTCAACCTTTCCTCACAGGACTTGGTCTCTATCCCCTCACTACAATCATTTTGTAAGCTTCATGGCTGAATAAACATTTGAACCCAGGCCCAAGTCCAATCACTGGCCCCTTTCAAATTGCAGACCCAGTTCGACAATTGAATCAGATTTTGCTAGATATGCACATCAGCCTTTGTCATGGTTAAAGCAGGAGGATGCTAGGTTCAGGCTAGTGGCAGAAAACAAAACAGAGGCTTCTGCTCTGATTGTATGTTTGCATGGACCCTTATTTTGATCACAGTCATGATTTACAGTGTAAATCCTGTACCCCTAAATTTGTCATTGCCTTTCCTGGTCTCTATACAGGTTACTTTCAATATTTAGAAACTTAAACTGGCTATACTCCTACCTTCATTGAACAACTGCATGGCAAATTAGTTGTGCACTGTCTTATGAGGGTTAGTGCTGGGGCCCTCCTTCTGGAAGGACCTTGTTTCTTTTTTTAATTTGGCTCAGCTATCCTATCTTCTGAACTGAACACCTCCTAAGCTGAAGATGCAAAAAGCAGTACAGTGCAGGACACATGTTGCAGGATAACACAGGCCAAATCTTTAAGAGCGTCTAGAAGAGTTCCACATCATTCCTGAGGCAAGCGTAAGGACAGGCGATCTCTGTCCCACTGGAGCAGGGCTGCATGGGTGTCATGAATGCTTGCAGGGTTTTCTAATATCCATCAAAAGGCACAGTTACTACCTGACAACTGGTATCAAACTTCTCAGATGTGAAACCTGACATCTGAATTAAGTAAAGGAAATAAATATAGAACACAACGATGGAAAACTCATTTAGAAAATCTGAATAGACTCAGCCTCTGTTTGAATTCAAAATATCAAAATACATTCCTCATAGCCTGGAAGTTAGAATTTTCACCCAGATCATTAACATATGAAGATTTAAGATGTACAAGTCAAATGCATGAGTTACAGATTCAGTGTATATAATTCATAGGCTATTCAGCTCTGCTGAAAAGCTGGGTATCTACTTTATCACTGTTTTTTCCTTCTCCTGAAGTAAAAGCTACAGCTATAACACTCTTTGGGCCTGCTGCGCAAGGAAACATGCTGCCATTGTACCAATCAACATATCTGAAGTTTGTTTTTCTGTGGGTAGTTGGATGACCACTTATCAGAAAACAGAGAATGAAGGTTTATATAATACGTGTCTGCTAATCTATAGTTATATGTGAACATTTTGAAATACATGCAACAATTTAACCAGAAATACAGTGCATCCCACCATAGTTGGGAAGACTGTGAGCAGGTGATCTGTGTACTTGCTTGGTCTGTTGTCCAGGTGCTGACTGATGAGAGTCTGTCTCAAGGCCCCTGCTCTCCCTTCTTATGCGTGTCTTTCAACTGGTCTTCTACTGAACAGTCAATAACGTAGAACAAGAATAGGCCATTTTTGTGCGTTGTGGGCACATTTGCCAATTTGAGAACCTGCAGCAGACACTAGTGCAAAATGGCTGCGGCAGGAGGTGTGGCAAAGCACAAGTAATCTTTCCAAAAGGCTGAGTGCAAGGCAGAGGTGGGGTCTGAGCTCAACACACAGAGCAACTCCTTTGACAGCAGTTTTCAGCACCAACAGAAACCCATGTGACAGAAATTCTGGCTTCTCCCAAGACAATTTGTCTTTTTAAGTGAAGGGTTAAAGCTCCTTGGCAAGTGCCGGGAGAGGCATCTAAGGGCACATTTGTGCCTATGAGTAGCAACCTGCCAACCTCTAAAACAGAGGAGATCTTCAAATACTTAAGTGCTTCAAGAGAGCTTAAATGCTTCAAGAGAGCACTTAGCCACCCTAAAATGCGTATACTTGAAAGATCACCCATTATACTGAAATCCTAATGCAAAGAGGGAAAGGCTTTGGATAGCTGCATTTTTGATTCCTGCAGTCAATCCATAAGATTCAAATATCAATACCATGAGAGTGGCTGCATAGTTCAGAATGAGTCTGAGAAAAGCAGTCACTCAGATCACGAAGTAAAAGAAAGTATTCATAATAGTTGGCTTTCTGTTTAATTTCTCAAACTATTGCAAACCCTTTAGACTGCAGTCCTATGCATGCTTAACATATTCTTGTGTGCTGTTGGTTAATTGGAATCTACAAGACATCCTACTGTCTAGAAGGTAAATCATAAACCTGACATGTTTATACTGAAAAGGTTAGTACGGATTTTTCTTAAAACAGTTATAATGTAAACATAAAACCTCTGCCCGGCTGCAGGAATGGAACTGCGCTTCCATATTCTGCCTGACAATACCAATGTTCTCACACATGGCATGACTAGCAGACAGGAAGCCTTAAGGGCACTTGTGAGCTTCATGTGTGAAAACCCCATTAGAAAGCACAACTCCTGCAATGAAAAGAGGAGCCCTTCTTTCAAATGTCAGTAGGACAGATTTACATTAGACCTATCAGTGAATCTGATGATCACCAGTAATTGAATTAGTACCACAATGATCTCACACAAAATGCCTTTGATTATACCCACAAAAAACACTTCCTCTTCCTCCTCACAAGCACATCTCTCTGCGTCTCCCTCCCTCCCTCATAATCATCTTATACTGACCCTTCCTATCAAAACCTTCCTTGCCTTCTTTTGTACTTTCTCCCATTGTAGCATACGTAAACATAGGCATGCAAAGAATCTTCTGCGCAGTCTAGCTCAGTGAGGAAGCCAGAGTCATGTTGATAAATTATCGGTCCAAAAGAATAGCTGAGGCAAACATCATCTGCATCTCTTTTGAGAACTTATCCCGTTTGTAGGCTACTGAGTCTGCCATCCTGGATCTTGGGATTAAAGTTGCTTCCTTATACAGGATTCTAAAAACACTTCTCTTCTTCTGGCACCCCTGGAATTGTCCCTAGTCATCCAGATTTTAAAACCCAGCATGTGTTGTCTTTTAGTGGACCCCTCCCAGCAGTGCACAGAAATACCATCCAGATCTTCCTCCAGGGACACCACCCTCTTCAAACACACTCCCAGACAGCTCTGCCTGGTCCAGTTTACCGTGTTGAGAGCCAGGTTACCCCGCAGTGCTGCTGGCGTGACTCCGTAAAGCACCGCGGCGCCGGCCACTCCTCCCAGCACCTGGGCAACCATGTAGAAGACAGCGCGGAAGAGGGAGAGCTGAGACCCCAGCAGGAAGGCCATGGTGACAGCTGGATTGATGTGGGCCCCACTCACATGGCCTAGAGACTGCACCATGGTAGCTGCCACCAAGCCAAAGGCCAGGGCCACCTGGAGAACATTAAGGGGGCCAACAACCCAACGGAGGGAGGCTCCCAGGCCAAAAAATACATAGAACATGGTGCCAAAAAACTCGGCAAAGACAGCCCTCCAAAAGGAGGATGAGCGTGCCTCCCACATGGTGAGGCGCGAGGGCAGGCGAGGGTGCTGTGCAGTCCTCAAGCACGCTGCTGCTCCCCCCACCACCTGGACCCACCTCTTTCAGCTGTGGCTGGGAGCTTTATAAGGCTCCCTAGCCCAGCCCAGCCCAGCCCAGCCTGGCCCAGCCCAGGAGGTGGGAACACTATCCAATTAACTGGGGTCTCTTAACTCTTCCCTGTCTGCTCAAGGAAGCTGTGATGAGCCCTATAAAGGCTCAGAAGACAAGGAGGTTCCTGGATCCTTCTGCTGCCGTCAGAGCTTTGACGCTTGCTGGTATTTCTACTGCCCCTTAGGGCCACCCACCTTTCTTTCAACACTGAAAGGGGGTTTCCTGTTAGCAACTGCTAGGGGAGAATCAATCATTTCCCCCCCACAAGAACGCTTTAGCATTCACAGCAGCAGATTTGTGTCCTGCTCCCTGGCCTGGGCCAGTTTCAAAAAGGGTCCTTCACAAATGTCAAATTGTCCCTTAGCACCGTAGATGTTTCCAGAGCTCCTCTGTATGCCATGCATTTATCTTTCCTGGACGAGGAATGCAATAAATAGGCTGTCAGGCTGCACTGCAGCCAGCTTTCCAGGCAGAGTGCAGGATGGGGGCACTACTGAATGAGTGCTATCACTGAGATATGCAGGCATTCACATATAGTTCAGAGTGCAGCAACGCTTTCTCAACCCACCACATCCTTCCTTAGTTACCCAAGTAATCCTAATCCTGAGGAATGTGCTGTACAGGAGGAGGTCATGCTTAGGCCTTCTAGGATCCATTCAGCCACAGGAAAAAAGGCTGATAAGTAAATCCAGCGGGTAAGAGGGAGGCTAGCAACTTCGTCCCAGTAAGTATATGGAATTGGATATAGACTTTGTTATGTTTGAAGCAGACCCACTGCAGTAAACAGAACTAAATTTAGTTATTACAAACTTGTTCTGTCAATTCAGCAGGTCTACTTGAGGCATGACAAGGTCTGGATTGGATGCAGGATGTATATTGTATATATTGCCATTTTAACAGACAGATATTGCAGATATCAACTGTGTACTTGCTAAAGAAAAGATCCTTTGAAGCGCATCACATGTCTTTTGTGTGTGCACACACCATGAAAATGCTCGGGGATAAAATGAAGCCAACTACCACCATGTATTTCCAGAGGGTATGCAAGACTACCCTCAGGCACAATAAGACACATATACATACATCAAATACTCCTGTTTTAACAGTTGCATGATATGAGAATTGTGTGTTAGCTTTTGAAATTGCAAAATGAGAAGCAGTGCTAATTGTTGTTGAAAGTTATGGGACATATTTCCAAGTAAAGTAGATTGGAGCTTTCATGTTGGAGAATTCCCACCAACTGGGATGGCCAGTATGCCTGATCTGATTACATCATAACCCTTCTTCATAGCAAGACAATGACCTCCAGTTTACTGAAACCAACCTGAGTTCTTTTCTCCCCACAAGAGGATTTCTGGAATGTGTAGTTGCAAGGGAAGAGTGGAAAGTAATGCTCCTCAGAAGGTGGGTATGAACCATATCAGAGGCAGGCAAAAGAAAAATCTGGACCAACTGGTAGATCTTTGGGGGAGTTGCTGTAGATCAACAAAGACCTTTGACTCTGAATTGCTTAACCACAGAAACACTAAAACAATTACTTCGGCAAGGGGCGGCATAGAAATGTTATAACAACAACAACAACAACAACAACAACAACAATAATAATAATAATAATAATAATAATACTGCCGAAGTAAAGATAACTTGGGAGTATCCAGGAATGGATTTTTGTGCAGAAGGATTGTGTCTTCCTTTCCATTCTGGTACTCAAAGCACATTCCTAGACTCTGAATTCTTTGGTGCAAAGTGGTCCTCCTTTGGACCAGGCTTTGGGTAGTGGATCTCTAGGTTCGAGTAAGAAATAGAGTTGATCTCACAAGCCTGAATTCTGCCCACCCCTGATCTGTATTCTAGGTAGGACTGAAATTAGTATTCTATGAACTAATTAGTTAATTGTATATATTTTTAAAAGGATTTTAAAAATGAATGTTAATGTCATTGTACTATTATAAATAATGGATGTAATCCATCCAAATTTTGGAATGTTTAAATCCCAGGTATTTCAGTGGTGGATAATTTAAACACAAATTTCACTTTCTGGAGTTAATACCTAATTAAAATGCCTAACTTGGCTGAAATGCACCCCAAAGGTTGTTGACCTTCAAATGATGAATTTGAGATAATTTGAAAATATCTGAATGTGTTACTTAATCAACAAATGCAGTTGCAATAAACAGGTGCAATCCCAACAAAAAGGTATTTATTGGGATAGTATAATATTTGATTTAATGGATTCGAGGGTACAATCCTGGGTTGAAGAAACACTGGCCAAAGGCTTATAAGGAGTCAATAGGAGGCCTGGTATGCTAGCAGAATGCAAGGGATATAGTAAAATGCCTTACTGTGGTGGAGACCCCGGAAAGGTACCTTCAGTATCCCGAAGCCTGCTGCCCAGGGCACTGGTGGAGCCCTCACATGACACTCCGGGCAGGTACGGTGGCTGGGTGGTAGGCATGTTCGCCCCGGCAAGGTGCAGAGTTTCCTCTGCGGCATATGTGCTGCAGCCTCCTGCAGCTATATCAGTGTGTATGCATTTGACTCTCCTCACCCATATCAGTCCTTCCCAGCCATGATGTGTGTAAAAGCACATTCCTGTGAGTTTTCTAGCAGGGGGTAGAATTCCCTTGTTAAGATTTTTTTAGCAGTGTGCTCCTTGCTTGCTTGCTTCTCTCCCCACTTTATATTTTATTTTAATTTATTTATTAAAACATTTTTATGCCGCCCCATTCGCCGAAGCCTTGGGGCGGCTTACAACAATAAATAAAACCTTTATCGACCTTATTAACACAAAACAATGGGCTTACATTGCAAGAAGCCAGATTCTGCTGTACAGCCAGAAAAACATCTTGATTGTTAGAGCAGTACAGCAATGGAACCAGTGACCTAAGGAGGCCGTGGGTTCTCCCACCCTGGAGGGAGTCAAGCTGGACAGCCAGCCATCAGGGATGCCTTAACTTGGATTTCTGCATCGAGCAGGGGGTTGGGCTTGATGGACTTGTAGGCCTCTTCAAGTCTACTATTCTATGACTCTAATACTGGGGCAGAGTACTGGATTTTCAGCACTCTGCTGACCATCCCCCTTTCAATAAACCAAGCCTCTGGCAAGTGTTAGCTGTGGGGGATTTCCCATATATCTATTTGAACCAATGGCCTTCACAGTTGACTTGTTTGCCTGCTTGACAGCCTACCCCACATAATTCTTACTTTACATTCCTGCCTGGTTGAATAGCTTTCTTTCCCTCCGGGAAGGCTAAACATGTTGCCCATGAAGCAATTCCAAGCGGCAATTCCAAGTGTGTTTGTTCCTGTTTAACAGACAACGGCACAGGGCTCCTTTGACTGCTACTGAATCTTCTGCATTTCTTGCATGTAGAGAGGACAGGGACATGGCAGCACAGCCCCAGCCTGGCTCACAGATGTGCCTGCCTCCATGTCCGCACGGAATCTTGTCAGCAAGATAGACTAAGGTGGTATTTCCAGGGGCCCTGGAGGCATGGCTAGCACAGTAGGCATGTCATGAGCAGAGCCGGCTGGAGTCACGGGTCAGATTAGATGGCCCGGGAGACCACTTTTGACTTGATCTGTTTCTCTGTTTTCTGTTTTTATTTTTATGGTGGTGTGTTTTTCCCCTCCCCTTCTGGGCTCAAGCATATACGGGATGCCTGGCCATCCTGCCAACAAAGCAGAGGTGTATGTGCATGGGTGTGCACACACACGCATGTGCACATGCACACACACAGAGAGAGAAAGAGAGCGCACCAGCAAAACTGGAGTATAAGATTGCCCTGTAAATACATAGTTAGCAAATCAAAAGCAATGCTAATTAACAGGCTAGTAAATCCCTCTCTAAGCAGTAATTTCTATGGATATAATTGGATATTTTCTTCTTAGTGGATTTGCACATTTTGAATCTGCCTCAGGGTGCAGTCCTATGCATGTTTAGACAGAAAAAGGACTTACAATACCAGCTAGCAAAAGCAAAACAAAAAAATTAAAGAAATCCACCAGTAATCTTCTAAAAAGTAGGTGGTGCCCATTTGTGCTACACTCAGATCAAGACCAGTCCAGATGAGTATGGGAGGAAAACAGAAGCTGTGTTGACTTCAGCATATTGGAAGCAGTTATAAGAATCCACTTTAACTTGCATGTCATATTCTTACAACCAGGGTATCTGAACTGAAACATTTGATCAGCTGCTGTGCCTCATCTGTGCTGTAAATATGCCCCTCCAAAAGGGTTGCCTCCAGTTCTGATAATGTTTTTCATCTGAAATCAGTCAGTCAGTCAGCCAGCCAGCCAGTCGCATTCCTGGGCTCTACAGTGGCTCTTCATGAGCCCCAACACACACACCATGTTACCCTGTCTCAGGGATCCAGGAATCTCCCAGCTTTGTCCAGTTCATATACCTCTTTTTTTTCGTTCTCAGTCATTTTTAATCAAACAGCTGCCCAGGGCCAGCCCTGTCATTGGGCATGGTGAGATCTAATGGCTCAGGCAGCAGATTCAGAGTTAGTATCAAAGAGCAGCAAATAGTTGTCCTTGATTATGATATTTGCCATTATGTAACATCATTTGGATTTTCGGCCTTGGGCATCAAGGTATCTTGGATAATTTCAGGTTGCGTTGCCATTAATATCCTGCCAGGACTGCTTATCTTCTGCGAGTCCATAGTTGTAGAATTCTACATGCAATCAGGTACAGAATTTGGGTTCTTGAACATTCTAGCCTCCATTAGTTGATTTTTAAGCAACTGTTTTTTAAATAAAGGCACAATCCACAAATGGCCAAGCTGCACTGAGGGTTCTGTTAACTTTCCTGACACAAGGGAAAGCGGACAAACTCCAGGAAGTCTCAGTGACTGTGTACCATATGGGGAGAACTTGTAGCCGATGAGAAGTTGTTGTGAAATGGTGCAGGGAATGGAAACATCAGTTTATCACAGGGAGGCATGGAGAATCTAATATGGGGGAGGAATCCAATAGACTTTCACAACTCAATCCCTCTACCCTCATCCCTGGACTCTAGTTTGTTAGCCTCATGCTGGCACCAACTTGTTGCTGTGCAAGTTGAGCCAGCGCGTGGACTTTAATCTCTAAGATGGGCTGTGATTTGCATATTTTTAGAAAAAACACTAAGGAAATTTGCACAAATCCTACAATGTGCCCAAATTTAACTAGCATTATTTGTACAAATCGTAGAATCTGTGCATATAGGAAGGCAAAAACAATGTGATCCTAACATGCTTTGCATGAATAAAGCTAGAATGATGTCAGTTTTGCCTTCTGCTTATGAAGATTTTCACAAATGTTCTTAGCAATTTTTTTAAAAGTGCATAAACTGGCACCCGTCTTAGATACTGAAGTCCACAAAAGCCCCTTGACTCAACCTACTTCTGATAATTGCATCAGAAGTAGGCAAGAATCTGCAGAGCTCAATCCAATCAAATTTTGCAGCCTTGGCATATCCTTAGTTCATCATCTGTGAGGTATGTTCTAAAATGTGCAAATTCTGCAAATAATACTACCACTCAGGTGATGGAGCTTCTGACTTCTGACATGAGTATTCACTCAAGGCCTCGCTACCCTTTTATCTGCAATTTCCCTCTACTCCCCTAAGACTGTCTTTCTGCCCCCAGGTGGCACCTTATAAAAACATTCCACATTCTGCACAGGCCAAGATTCAGTGCACTGAACCCAGATGTCAGAATTAACACTAACCTAAAGCACCACCATTTTCTCAGCCAGCCTACAATCTAAGCCGGCTCTGTTTCTGCGAAGAAAATGTGATCTTCCAACGCTTCTCCAGCACTGCGTACATGACAGCAACATTACAACCCCCCACCCACCCATGTACCCTACATTCCTTGCAGTCAGCCTTTCTCTGGCTACCTTACATGCAACTGTTCTTTGATTTTACAGCCCCAGCTGGCCTGTTCTCTCTGGCTTTTCTTGTCACAGGAAAGCTTGCCAAGAAATTCTATAGATCAGCAGAATTCAGTAGAGCAGCCCTCTTCGCTCTGTACCCTGCGCCATCATTACCCTTGGTGCACAACGACCATGTTGGATAATGTCCTTGAACCTTCCAATTCTAGAGTGAGGGCTTTTCGTGCTAAAAGGCACTGCACGCTATTCCATCTTAACAGATTGTTTCCACTAAAGAGAAAGCCAGAGGAAGCTGTGAGAAACCTAGGGTGGTCATGTGTCCTCTTTTACAGAGGACATTCCTCTGTTTGGACTCTGTTGGCCTGACCAGTCCAAGTACAGCTTAGAGAGCTAGGCCTGTGGCCCCACAACAGCACCTTGACAGCACCTGCATGGAACAGGCGGGCACAGGACAGAGTACCGTGTTTCTACTTAAATTACAAGAATTCTTTCATAATTTGCATCTATTCATATAAACTGGCATATGCAAACATTATGCAAATTGGTGTCTTTTTTCTGTCATTCCTCTTTTATTATTCATAAGCGACCACCCTAAAAACATGGGAAAGTTGCAGGGTAACTGCATGTGGGTAACTGCATGTGTTTGAGGCAGGGCAAGGATAAAAGACTCATCTGGAAGCACCCCAAAGCAGTCCATTTCCCCTAGTTCTTCCTCAGTCCAGTGCAACAGGAGACAGGTTTATACTTTACATCAGGAGCCAAATAGGAGAGGAATAAAGGAGGTGAGAATGCTTACTGGATAGAAATCCATCCCTGGCTCCTGGTATCTTAGGGGTTAACAGCTCAGTAAAAAGAATGAGGATAGAAACTGGCTCTGCTTGGCCTGGAATGAGGCTTCTGGGATATCTGTCTTCACAGCATTTTGGAGCAGAGGTTTGCTCAGAGCCATTCAAAGGTCTCTAATTCTCTCTGGGCTTCAGGGGATTTATCAGCCTGCTTCATGATTGGGCAGGCGGGAGAAAAACTGCCAGGCCCGAAAGAGCCAAGGACAATAGGACTTGCTGGACTCAGCACTTCACCCATCTCGGCTTGTTGAAGGCACATGGGGAGGGAATCAACAGATGCATGTCACTCAATCAGCCTCGGTCTCCCATCCCACATTATTGTGCACCAGGTTCAGAGAGGGGGTTGGCTTAGGCCAGTCGCTAAACTCCACCCAGATGGCAAACAGGACAAAGAGGAACAATGGTTCTTTCCAGATGTTTTCTAATGGGTGCTACGGTGAGGGACAAATGATGCACAGGCTTGAGAGGGGAACACGCTTAAGCTCACAAGATAAAACCAGTAGCAGAGCACGAGACTGAACCTAGCAGGCCCAGTTTTCAACCTTTTGCCGGTTGGCCCCGGGAAGAGAAACCAGGGCACTTGGTCCCTGCTTGCTCTTGTGCTATCACAGTAGGTCCTCTCTGGGGACAAAGAGGCCAGGATTTCTAGTTCCCAGCTCTCCTTTGTGTTTGCTTATTAGTTCCTCACACTCTCTAAACTGGGGAGAAAACCCCAAATTCATGGCAAATGCGCTTTGTTGTCTTTAGGGGTTCAGGTCCCAGACCTGCCTTAGTGCCAGGACCCACGTGGTCATCATGGATATGGAAGATAGTACAACTTGAGTACAGTGGCAAGAAGGCATGGATAGCGGGGCTTTCCGGGAAGGTAAAGAAACAGGAAGATGCTGCAGCTTTCTATTCAGTGCCGTGTTCCCCCTTGCAAGCTGGCTTGGCATGGACAGCAGCAGAGAGCGAAGAGCGAGACATGCTGGCTGCTTCCACAATCTCAATGTCGCGGCAGGTCAGGCAGGCAACTAGCTTCTCCCGTGAAGCACTGTGAGCAAAGAAGAATTCATAGGATACGCCAGCAAGGACTGCACCTAGGATGGGGCCAAGCCAGTACACCTGGAAGGAGGGAGAGAAACCACAGGAACGAGTTCAGAAGCAGTGCATCATTCCTGGGGAAGGGATGATGGACCAGCAGAGCCACTGGGATTGGTACAGAAAGCGGCAGAACATGCATGGGGGGGAATCACGTCAACTGGCTGGGGCACCAAGTGAGGCAAGGAAACAGTTTCTAGGGCAAAGCTCAGCCAACGTTCTTGCAAGTAGAGGGACAGAGTGCCCAGATGAGCCATGGGCAAACACACCTTAAAGCAACCTTCCCTAATCTGGGGCTCTCCAGATGTGTTGGGCTGCAACTCCCCTTGCCATGTTGCCTAGAATCACACATCTGGAGAGAAACAAATTGGGAGATGCTGCCTGAAATAGGACTACCATCATAGCCCTCAGGCTTCATCCCTAGCTCAAAAAGCAATCAGTCCAGGCAGTGGAAGAGCAAGTAAAATACATGGGGACAGATGGAGGGAGAGTGCCATTCATTGCTCAACAGGCTCTCCAGCACCTACTCACCCAGTGATGCTCCCAGATTCCTGTTACCACTGCTGGTCCCAGTGATCGGGCAGGGTTCATACTGCCTCCAGAGAATGTGCCCTGCAGAAGCATCAAATTGGTATGGTCAGTGGTGGTGTTCTGACTCCCTCCTTTGGCAGGTAACTTCAAAAGCTTGTTTGTGCTCTTTACAAAACAACAACATCACAGCATCTTCTTCTCAGTGCACTTCACGATCAAGTATTGTGAATGAAGCACTGCCCGTGTGCTAGTTATGGCACCAGGCAGGCAGAAGACACGCACTAGCACTAAAGAATTCTTCAGAAGTGGAACAGTTTGAGTACAATTGGCTGGGAGTCCATTCTGAGCTTTTCAACAAGGACTTTTGACAGATGTCATGGAAAAGCGAAGCAGAACCGCTGCCATTTCTTGCAAACTTCCTGGGTCAATGCGCGGGATTTTTATCTGTTCCAATAATCCCCCAAATAATGCCCAGGCAAGTTTTCCCACTGCAGAGTTGCACAAGTTCACTAAAATGATAATGATAATTGCACACACATTTGGAGTGCAAAAAACAAATTGGGCAACCACTTGGGCACTTGGGGGGGGGGCTCTTTCTGGCTGTCAATTTGGAGATTGCTGTTTGCTGGGGGTGGAGTGGGGTAGAAATCCATCATGCGGGAAAAGAGATCGTAATTGTGGCAGGCAGAATGAAGACAGTGATGGTCAAGCCGCTTGTGTTGGTTTGGATGAGATTGGCAAGAGCAGCAAGGGGGTTTCTTTCCCACTTTAGCCCAACACTCGCCACTTTCCAGTAGCCGTGGCGGGGTTAGTTGCCAATGTTCAGATGACACTAAAACCCATCATGCATACAACAGCCCCTAGAACAAACCATGGGTTATCAAGGTGGCTTATTGCCTTGAAACATGTCACCCCGTGGGAAGAGGCCTAGCTTGTCACCCACAATGGGTTGTTGTGCAAACCCAGTTACGGGGCTTATTTGCACATGACCTGGTCACAAGCTGTGGCAGGTTGATTGTTTTGTGAAACTGACAGAACATTGGATTAGCATGGATTGTTCACCACCTCCCTCCCCCTTGGTCCTCCCATGGGTATCAGGGACACCATGAGAGGATCAACTTCTCTCCCCACCTTCCCCCCTTGCCCTTTTGGTTTTTGGACAGCTGACTTTTGCAACCCCAGTTTTGACAGTCACTAACAGCACCCTCAAAGTGCCCAAGCAGGAATCAGGCCAGATTCCCCCACCAACAGTCGCAACTCACAATGCATGGTCACAATGTAGAAACCCAGTAATTATGAGACTGCACTTTGGGAAGCATATCAGTCATAATATCAAAGTGAGAATAGCTTTTCTTCTGAAGTGATAAGGACTAGAGTATTGGTCCATTGAAATCATATCCGACATTCCTTTAATGTTACCAACTGCATGAGAGATACTGGCATCTGCCACATCTGGAAAAGGTGATGCTCAAATCAGCCTTCAGTTGCACTGTGTTGCTGTTCTAAGGTTATAGGCGCCAATTCCTTCCCCCCAAATTGCTGCTGAGACAGTCTAGAATTTCAAATCAAAACGGTAAAGGGATAGCTCGGCAGGCTGCAAGGGATCTCACCGCAGCGAGCGCTCCTGCGATCACAGAGAAGCCGGTGGCTGAGATCCCAGGCTCACCCAGCTCACGCTTCTGATGATCTTCCACAGCAAAGATGGTGAGAGCCAGCTGGAAGGTGGAGAAGGCCTCCATCCCCAAGGCCTGTCCAGCATTCCCCTCAATGCCGACCTAAAGGGAGAGACCCAAAAGAGGCAATGGGAAGGCAGAGGGCTGAGTGCAGTGGCTGCAAGTCCTTGGCCAGCACAAGAGTCTTTGAGTCATACTAATTCTTTCTCCACTAACATACACCCTGTTTTGCCTGTATAGTAAATATTTTTCCATATAATTGTGGCTCTTGAAATCATGTTCAATATGTTCATGATGCTGAAATTGTCAATATTATACATGTACGGTTAATCAGTGCTTTTTTTGTAAAAAAAAAAAAAAAAAGGTGCCAGAACTCACTTCTCCGCCAGCAGTAAGCACACACACCAATCCCAAGCCAAGCAGCAGAGCAGCATCCCAAGCAGCTATCTTTCACTATCAGATAGCAGACACAATAGCAGCCTGCAGGCACTATGTTAATGATGTCTGCTACCCATTCAAGATCACTTCGTAAAATCCATTGAAAAAAAGGTGCCGGAACCTTTCTGGTGCGTTCTATGACAAAAAAAGCCCTGCTGTTAATTAATATTGTTAACTGTTAAAGGATGTAGATTTTAACATATGAAATGCAAAATGGTTCTTATTATATATGTTGTATTATTGAGGAATCCAAATCATTACATAAACATGGCTAACATTTATTTTAAATTGTTCTAGGTAGGAGATTAGGGAAACTATTATAAATCATGTTGTTGTATAGGAAGTTGTATTCTTTTTTATGCTTACATGATTTCAAGATGGCCACCACTTCATGTCAGATAAGAATTTACTCAGGCACTGTTGCTCTCTCCTCTATGTATATGTAGCTTACATTTATAGATAAAGCATAATAAATATTTTTTAAAATGTTGTGTGCACGCTGAGAATGATGTAAAATTAAGCTTTTTTTTTTTTCTTGAGGTTGGGGGAAGGAATCCAGGTAAATATTCTGTTCCAAGAGATACTGCTACCTTATCTAGAGACTGGTGCATTAGAACTAGGCAGCCGATTAGCTTGCATTCAAAGCAGTCAATGGCTACAGTCACACAACAATTCACATTAAATACTGAAAATGAGATTGAGGTTGAGGTTCATATTCATTGAAGTGTGGGTTGTTATATTGTGTGAATCCAGCTGTGCTAACAAAATGTTTTGTTAAACCACAGGCGACCCATGGTTTGTTGTTTAGTTATGAGCTATAAGTTGTCTGTGGTTAACAAGCCACAGAATGCTAGTGTGGCTGGGTTCATACAACACAACGATCCACAATTCAACAACAATCCATGATTCAACAGACCACATTCAACCTTAAATGCAGGTTATTATGTTCTGTGATTCCAGTCAATGAGAAGAAAGGAGGGAGGCCACAAACTGCTAGGAAAAGATCAAAAAAGTGATGATGACAGAACATGGCAACTGAGACAGAGAGAAGCAAAAAAGGGGGTGGGGGTGGAAAGGGAGATGAAAGCAAAAATGATACATAGCCTGAAAGATCAAGTTGCTTATTTACTGAGACTAGCCAACTTTTTCTAGGGATCAGGGAACCAATACAACACCATAAATCGGGATTGATGTAGTCACTGTGGGCACCAATAGTGAAACCATTTTATTTTTATTCAAGGCTTGGGTGAACAACATTAATTTCCATTTCTGTGGATACATGGGAGGGTAGAGTTGAGCGAATATAAGGAAGAGGAGTGTCACTTACCTTTGTGACCAGTTGTCCAATGGCTGAGGTGGGCAACACAAGGTAGAAGACCCCTGATGCCAAGATGGCGCCCAGGCACTGGGCCAGAATATAGCCAGCAGCATGCAGAGCATCCAGCTTGCGAGTGCACAGGAAGGCCATGGTGAGTGCTGGGTTGACCTGGGCGCCGCTGATCTCGCCGAAGCAGTGAGCCAAGCTGACAGCAACCAGTCCTGCCGCAAGGGCCGGCTGGAGTGGGGGAGGAGGCACCTCTTTAGGGCCAGCAGGGGAGGAGGCTCCCAGCACAACCCAAACAAAGATCAGGGTGCCAGCGCCTTCGGCCAACAAGCAGCACCAGAACCGACGGCTCTGCAGTTCCTGGAGTGTGGAGGGAATAAGTAAGAGTCACCAGGCAAGGGTATATCTCACACCAGAGACTGACAGGTTGCTGAGATACGCCACTGCCACTGCAGCATTCTGGTCAATGCAAGCCAGTAGGTTCTGTTAAGATACAATCCAGCAGGGCTCAGATCAAAAAAAGTTCTACAGCTCCCAGCATGGATCAGGCCGTTTCTCTTAACATCCAGCTTCTCAGCTATGTATGCCTAAGGTTTAAAAGACAAATCCCAGTCCATGACCATGTGGATTTTGCCAGATCATGGCCCAGTAAGGAATACTGTTTGGCCCAATGCAAAATTGGGAAGCCATCCCATCTGTTTGTCCTGAATTTTAAAAATCACATTCTGATTCATCTCTTCAATATCTGCAAGGATAAATGCTCAGTTATATTTTTAAATAATTACCTAAATAAATGTAAGAGAGAAAATATTAACTAGGGGGAAAAAAACCAATCCTGGAGGAACAAGAGCAGAGATAGGATTTTGGCTAAGCAGGTATTTTTCCTAATGCCTGTTCTTCAAGTCTCAACAAGCTCAAATATTTTCTGTATCTTGTGCATTTTCATCAAAATGCAGCAAAATGAATCATTAAAATACATCTGAAAAGCCATCAAATATCATGCTTTTGTAAGTGTATTTACAAGAACATGTGGACTCTGAGACCATTATGTCTTTGTTGCCTAATCTGTCCCGAGTAAGGTCTCCTATTTAAGATCCTGTAGCTGGCAAAATGAACCCTCAGGAGGTACCAGTATCCTTGGGCTTTCGGCAGTGGAGTTCTGACTCTGACATGCAGAAATGCTCTGGGGAGCTTTCCCCAACTCAGTGGCCACAACTTCAACCCTCATCCCTAGAAGAAGCAAACATCTATAGAAAAAGGGCCTGGACTTTTGGCCAGCTGCACTCCAGAGGGAAGAACTTCAAAACTGGTATGAGCAGCTATTTCCAGTTCTGGAATGGATCAAAACCCATAAAAACACATGAGCAAAAACACCAACCAGGGCTATCCACCCAACATCTGAAGGACACTCAGCTGGCTGAAAAAAACCGAATGACCATTATCTGGGGCTTCTTCCTATAGCCCAATCCACTTGCCTTTTGCCATCAGGTATCTTGCACTCCATTATGAAAATCCACCATTTCACAGATCCTACCAAGGCTCTGCCTCCAGGGAGCCAAACCATATCACCACCAAATGCCACCCCTCCAGCCTGTCAAATCTAGTGTCTTGTTCATGCTCTAGCTCAAGGTCGGCTCTACCTTACAATCTCACATGAGTTGATTCTTCCTGTGCTAGTGGAATTTCTGATGGAGTAGGGCATTGTGTGTGTGTGTGCGTGCGCACACATGTGCACATGCGCACACACATTATGTCTCTGCTGTGCAAGAAAAATTGAGAGACTTGGCTCCACAAATGGGCATCACATAACAGGGTTTTTCCAGAAGGAGGGCTCCTAACACTGTAAATCAGAAGACACCGTGCCACAATTTTATTTATTTATTAATCTTAAAATATTTTCAGGGGTAAGAAAAAAGATATAAAAAGTGGTAGGTTTCAAGTGGAAAACATCATTGTCTAGACCCCACCATCCACCCTGATAACATTCTGTGAATGAAAGAGGACAGCAGCACTATAAAAGACTTTTCTAGAAGCACCCAAAGATTCTGTTTCCAACCAATTCAGGTTCCAGCTCCACAAGTATCAGAAGTTGTTCTTTTCACCCTCAATTTGCCTACAAATTGGCTCAAGATCTACAACTGAATGAGGATGTCTTGCACTAATGTTGGAAATAATGTGTATGTTTTATATAATTCAAGGTGGGCCCATGTTGCAGATGGTGCTTGAAAGGGGCTTTTTAGAACTGTTGAAGACTATCGCTCAGCTAAACTGTAATGGCATAGGTTTAGATTACAAATCTTTTAGAAAACCCTTTATGAACAGTATCTGTCCTCTATTCAAAATGTTTTCTGATTCTGAACATCTCACTAAAGTAAGTACTCTAAAAAAGACACTCTGCAACATGAAGTCATCTGAAGAACAACCAATTTCTCCTCTTTGAAATTGTTGCGCTATGTAAAAAGGAAAGAACTCCTCTTTGTACTCTATGCGGTCTACTCTGAAATGACTAAAATGATTTTGGATCTTGTGGCAAACATGTTAAAATTAGCTAGCTGAATTGAAGCTCAAAGTAAGGAAAATGGGTGTGATTAGGGATCATTAGAGAGTAAACACTAGGACAGGAAGACAGAGGCTTCCGCTAGGAAGGAATGGAGCACAGAAAACCAGCCAGACAAACAGATTGGTAGAAAAGTGGATGAAATGCTTTCAGGCAAGACTGACTGTGAACAGCAACTACAGAAGGATGGGAATGGAATTGGGGATTCATCCACTTGGGCTGCTTCTAATACTCAAAGCCGATGTCCTTACCTCCCTGATGCCCATGGTGCCCAGCTTGCCAAAGCTGATCTGTGTGCGGGAAGGTGTGTTGCTGCTGTCATCAAACGCTATGTTCCCCCTCCCTCATCCTCCCTCACCAACAGCTAGGATCCTCTTAAAGATGAAGCAGATGCAGTCCAGAGAACAACGAAGGAGGGGCATCAAGCAACAGCAATATGGATGGACCACATTGACCACTTTTGTCCTCTGCTTGCCATGCTGTGTCATCCCAGTTTTTCAAATGCCATTGCCAGAGCTCCACAGGTTCAGTCAATTAATGCCCTTCCAGAGGCTTCAGACTTCCACTCCAGAGGTTACAGGGAGAAGAGGGAAATCTCTTAAGAGAAAATAATCTCAATTATTTATTTTCCAAAAGCTTTAATACACACATGTGGGCGCACAAATGTTTGTGTGCATGCATTGATAAGGACTCTCTGGGACACGTTGGCAGCAAGGGTGCCAAGGCAACAGATTCCTTTGAACCTTACTCAGGAGCTCATCTGAATGGGGTTGTCACAGTTACCGCAAAGCCGGGCCAGAATGTATTGCTGCATGATCAAAGATGTTTGCACGCACCATTCAATGAACCTTCATATGCAGTGGATAACAGGGACTTTTTGTTGCATGCCCAAAGAAGGGGAAATCCTAGGTGTTGTAGTTAAATATGCTCCTGGATTTCCAACAGTGGGTTTGAGCAAAACAGACATTACAAAAATGCTATGAGATGACTAAATCTGCCCAGAAAGATGTCAAATGTGCATGTGAGTGTACATGTGGGTGGCATGTCTGGGTGGGCCATGCTTTTCTTTTTCTGCAGAATGAGTCCTGTACACAACCTGTATTGATATCCAGGTCTTTTGCAATGTGAGAAAGGAAAGGGATTGTGGGATCATATTGCGTCTATATGATCACAGCTACCCTGTGTTGTCTGGTAATGGTCTATTTCAAGGCATTTCAAGGCTAAGTTAAAACTAAAAGTGACTGTGAAGTATTCCAGAAGGGTTTCTCCAAACTGGGAGAATCAGCATCCAAATGTCAAGGGCAGGTCAGTATAAGCAGAGTAAAGAGATGCATGTTGTGGCAAAAAAATCAAGCTTTTTATAAATGGATGGCATCTGAGCTAGTGCTGACTTTCCAAGACAGCAATCTGGGACCCGGGTGGGAAGCCTGATGACATGCCTAGCCCTGTGTGCTACTGCAGTTAGACAAGACTTGAAAATAAAACTGCCAATATCATACACACATTCATATCTATGGTGCGACCACACTTATTGTGTGCAGTTGTTGTTACCACACCTAAAAAGGATATTGTGGAGCTGGGGAAAGTTCAGGAAACATCTTCTGAAATGATCATGTGGCTGCAACAACTCTCCTATGAGGGAAGATGACAACATGGGATTGTTTAGTGACTAATGGAATAATGAAAGCCATGAGAGAAAATGGTATGGAGAAGGTGGCCTGGGAGACAGTTTTCTTCCTTTTTCATGCCTGAACTCAGGCTCATCCCAGGAAGCTGATTGGTGGGAGATTTGGACAGATGAAAGGAAGGACTTCACACAGCACATAGTTAATGTTCCAAAAGATGGCCACCGACTTGAAGGGCTTTAAAAAGGGGAATGGACAAATGGCTGTCCATGGCTATTAGTCTTGATGGTGATATGCTGCCTCCAATATCAGAGGCTGCAAAGCTATGTACACCCATTGCTGGGGAGCACTGATGTTGCACTGGTGTCCTGCTTACGGGCTTCCCATGGAGAGCCTGTTGACCAATCTGTGAACAGAATGGTGGACTGGATGATCCTGGTCTAATCCAGCATGACTCTTCATGTGTGCTCCATCTGATGCCCCCTAGAGGTGTTGGACTACAACTCCCAGCATGCTCCAACAAATCTGAATGGTACCAGATTGGGGAAAGTTGGGTTAATGTATAATTTTTACTATGCCTTTCAGGTTTTCCTCTGCCCTTAATTTTACACAGGATGGGTGCCACAGGGGACAGATCTTTGTAAGCTTTCTATGTGTACCTGGCCAAATTTAAATCCACTTATGATGGGTGCTGACCTATCAGAATTCCAGACTCATTCAGAGAAATTCTCAGATCATGTGCTGGGACACACTAATGTATTGCAAGAGCACCTGTAATATGCTGTGCAAAATCAGCTGAACAGTTACAGGGTCACATTAGTATGTGGTACCTCCTGCACTGTGGCTGAGCAAGTTCACCATTCCTTCCTTTCAGCCACTGGAAGGGAGCATCTCTTTGCTGCTTCTTTGCTTCTGGCCACTGGAGCAAGCTCATTGCATCAAATGTGGGGACTAGAGAATCAAACCATTTCCACTGTAAAGAGCAAAACATGACTGCAACATTGCACGAGGAAAAAATAATGTGCCTCTTCTCTCAGATGTCTGGGACTCAAGCCTCTATTTCCTCCATTCCTATCACCAGGAAAGTATGCATCAGTACCAAAGGAAGGCCATTCTGGGATTTAGGCACCGGTCTGGGCAGTTACCTCCAAAGGGACAAGACTTGAGAGGCTCCATCCCCGGCATGCCATGTGATGAGTGCTCAGCAGAGCCCCTTTCCTGGTTTCTGTCAAGTCAGCACCTGCCTCAGCAAAATCAAGGCCTTCTGCTGACCTCTCCGCTGGCATATGCTCCCTCTCTCTCTATTTATCTCTCCTTTCTTTGGCCAGCACTTGCTGACTTGCTGCAAAGAGCCAGAACAATCCTGCCAATGAAAAGGTGGTAACAAAGGATACCTCCCCACACCCTGCAGCGGTCATACGTCCCTGTCACATTTAATTAGTGTCCAGTGGAGTCTTTTGGGCAGGCCCAAAGACTAGAAAAGAAACATTATAGCAGCCATTTTGAAGTTGACAATAGAAAAGGAGGGGGCAAAATCTTTGACCATTCACTTCCTGACTTCTGAGAGAGCTCTTGAATGGTCTGCTTCAACTGGCAATCTAGCGGATGGTCTTTTCAGACTGGGGCAGGGCACAGCAACAGACAGCCCCCTTTGCCTTTAAAAGGGCTTGTCAGTGCAAGCTTATTTAGCTCTTTTGAGGGTCTTCTTTTTACAGCTAATGCGTATTTAATTACCCAGTCAAGACAAAGTCATTCTGAAATATTTATTTATTTATTTATTTATTTATTTATTTATTTATTTATTTAAACTATTTATATGCTTATAATACTTGTATTATAAGAGCTTGGAACAGTATATCATTGCAGAGAAAATCCATTTTCCCATTGGTTACAGCGAAGCTTGCAACTAAAGTCAGGGAATAGCAGGTGGGAAGTGAGCCCCGCTCATATATATCCAAAGCTTTGTTGTTGTTCAGTCATTAAGTCGTGTCTGACTCTTTGTGACCCCATGGACCAAATCATGCCAAAGCATAGGGTTTCCTTATGTGTGGGCCGCAATTGCAATGGCTTTCCTGAAAGACAGAAATGAATTCACAAGACCTGGGCTACACTGGGATGGTGGGTGTGATGACAAGGGTTCAACTGTTCTCCAGGGGTTGAGTCAGCGATGACACCACCATCCACATCTTGAGTGCTGATTTCCTGAGTGACACTTATCAGAAAGGCCTTGGAACATATAGAAGTGACAAGGAAGCAGTTCTGTACTGACAACTGGTGGTCAAAACTGAGCAGGCAAGCTAGGCAACCACTAAACGTTAGCCCAATACAAGGGACATATACCATGTCTGAAGTAGCATGCAAATCTGATTTGCACCATGGCCGACTTCCTATATAAAGTGTACTGCATCCCACAATCCTATCCAATGACATAGAACGTTCTAGGGCAGGGGTAGACTTCAACTCCCAGCATTTTTGACCATTGGCTATGTTGGCAGGGACTTATGGGAACTGATATTCAAATCATCTATAGCTCTACTTTCTGCCTATCACTGGCTGGGGCATACTCAGATGGGGATACCTTCACTGAGCTTATGGAGACAAAACACCTTGACCCATTTCTTCTTTGACTGTAAGCAATCAACTGGCTAAGTTGAGGCTGGAAAGACTATAGAAGTAATTTGCAGTCACTTCCCTTTGTTTTGGGTTCTGGTGGTTCTGACCCTTGCTGTAAAGGATGTGAAGTCCAATGTAGATACGAGTTGCCCACATCCAGCAATTTTCATGAGATTCACATGGTGCAAATGGAAGTTGGCATAAAAGAGATCTATCATTTGAAGCTATTTGGAGTTTGAGTTTTAGAAACGAAACATGGGGTTTCAAAAATCACCTCAAATTGTCTTTAGTGAGAAAACATTGGGTGCAGGTGGAGCAGTGGTTTAAACTGCTGTGGTGCTGGGCTGGTTGATCGAAAGGTCACTGGTTCGAATCTGTACAACAGGGTGAGTTCCTGTTGCTCCGTCCCAGCTCCTGCCAACCTTGCAGTTCGAAAGCGTGCAAATGCAAGTAGATGAAAAGGTACCACTTCGGTGGGAAGGTAACAGCGTTCCATGCACTTCGATGTTTAGTCATGCTGGCCACATGACCACAGAGACTGACTGCAGACAAACACAGGTTCCCTTGGCTAGGAAACGGAGATGAGCACCGCCCCCTAGAGTCAGGCATGACTGGACTTTAATGTCAAAGGGAAACCTTTACCTTTAAGGTAATTTACCACCTCTTGCTTTTTTTTCTTGACAGTGGACTTCTGGCAAGGGATGGGTTGCACCTCACGAGGATGAGGAAAAGGTCCTTTGGAGATGCTCTAGTGAGCTTTGTCCGGAAGACTTTAAACTGAACTGGGGGGGGGGTCAGGCCCCCCAGAAACATGTCTGCACTGGACAAGTGTGGGGAGAGGAGCAGGGCTCTGGGAGCAGGGTTTTAGAGATACTGCAGGGACTGACAGGACTCCTACAGAGAGGGGCCAGGTATCAGGGAGGAGGGGAGGAAGGAGGAGGCTGGGAACTCCAAGGAAAGGAAGTGGTGGGAAGGAGTTGAGGTGCATGTACACTAAAGCTAGGAGAATGGGTAATAAGCAGGAAAAGCTTGAAGCTCTCCTGGAAATAGGAGGGTATGATCTGGTGAGAATCACAGAAACTTGGTGGGATGAAAGGCAAGACTGGAATGTGAACATAGAGGGGTATCACCTTTTTAGAAAGGACAGGAAGAGAAAGAGGGGTGGGGGCGTGGCTTTATATGTCAGGAAAGGGATAGGATGCAATGAGATAGAATGCAGCACAGATGGGGATTCGGTAGAGGCAGTCTGGGTGAAACTTAGGGGTCTTGACAGGGAAAGAGACCTGACAGTGGGGATCTGTTATCGCCCTCCAGGTAAACTTGAGACCCTGGATGGACAGACCAGATTCTAAGGATATCTCGGGGGAGAGACACAGTAATTACTCACTCAGCGGTGACAGCCAGGTCACGTCGTTTCCTAGAAGCTATAGAGGGAGGGTTTTTCATACAGAGGGTCCAAGAGGCGATGACGGGGGGAAAACATCCTTGACTTGGTCTTAACCAATAGAGAGGAGCTGATAGATGAAGTCCAGATTAGGGGAGCTCTGGATGTGAATGATCACTCCATCCTTTGCTTTGAGATCAGGGGACTGGGGATGTGCAGCAGGTCAAGCACCAGAAACTGGGACTTCAAGAGGGCCAACTTTGGCCAACTGAAGGCCAGACTGGGGAAAGTCTCCTGGGATAGGTTACTGGAAGGTAAGCGAGTTGAGGAGGGGTGGATGGCACTCAAAAGGGAGGTTTTGGAGGTGCAAGCCTTGACAATACCTCTAGTTAGTAAGGTAGAGAGGCAGAGGAGAGCGCTGCCATGGATGCGAAAGGAGGTGGTTAGAGGGATTAGATGAAAGAGGAACCTCCGTAGGAAATGGTTACTGGGGCAAATAGACAAAAGGGTATACCGGGAGGAGGAGGTCCATTGCAGAAGGATTCTCCGCAAGGCTAAGGCTGATTATGAGCTGAGACTTGCCAAGAATATCAAGAGCAACAAAAAGGGCTTCTTTCAGCATGTAAATAGGAAGAAGAAGGGGAGACAAGTAGTGGGACCACTACTTAAGGAGGAAGGAGATCCAGTGACTGATATGAGGGAACAGGCACAGATGCTAAATGACTATTTTGCCTCTGTGTTCTCCCCAAAGCAGGACAGGGAAGATCTGCATAGGAGCTTAGATGAGGCCGGGGATTTGGGGGCACAGATTAGAGTCACCCCCTAGAAGTCGAGGGGCTCCTCAGGGCATTGGACATTACAAAGGCGCCAGGTCCTGACGGGTTACACCCGAAAGTACTTAGGGAGTTGGCAGGGGTTCTCTCACGCCTGCTGGCCTCCAATTTTTGAGGCCTTGTGGAGAATGGGTGAAGTTCCAGAGGACTGGAGGGTGGCATCAGTGGTCCCAGTTTTCAAAAAGGGTAGTAAAAGGGACATGGGGAATTATAGACCTGTTAGCCTTACGTCCATTGTAGGAAAAACAATGGAAAGGCTCATAATTGAGAGAGATCTAGTGATGCTAGATAGGGAAGGGAGGCTGGCAGCCACACAACACGGCTTCCACAAAAACAGGTCCTGCCAGACAAACCTTGTGGAATTCTATGACAAGGTTTCGAGATGGCTAGATGGAGGGGATGCAGTGGATGTGGTACACCTGGATTTCAGCAAGGCCTTTGACAAAGTGCCCCATGATATCCTGGTTGAGAAACTGAGGAGTTTTGGGATACAGCAAAGCACTGTCTTATGGATTAGGGCAAGGTTGACTGACCCAGAGGGTAACCATTAGTGGGGAATCATCAGGATGGCGGCCAGTGACAAGCGGGGTTCCCCAGGGCTCTGTCCTGGGGCCGATCCTGTTTAATCTTTTCATAAATGACATGGAAGAAGGGGTGAACAGTCTGCTGATCAAATTCGTAGACGATACTAAAACTGGAGCAGTGGCCACAACTGAGGAGCAGGTACTCCAGATCCAGAAGGATCCGGACAGACTATGGAAGTGGGCAGGAGACAACAGGATGGCGTTCAATGTGGGTAAGTGCAAGGTCTTGGACTTGGGGCATAGGAATAGCTGTCATAAGTACAAGTTAGGGGACAAGTGCTGCTCTCCAGCCACTTGTGAAAGGGACCTCAGGGTACTGGTTGACTGCAGGCTAAACATGAGTCAGCAGTGTGATGAGTGGTCAAGAGGCCAAACGCCACCCTTGGTTGCATAGCCAGAAGTGTGGCTTCTAGATCGAGAGAGGTATTACTACCGTATATGTATGTGACTCTGGTGCACCCGCAACTGGAGTATTGTGCTCAGTTCTGGGCCCCTCATTACAGGAAGGATATAGCCAGGTTAGAGTCAGTGCAGCGTAGGGCCACAAGGTTGGTGGCCGGTTTGCAGGGGATGAGGTATGAGGTGAGACTGAGGAAACTGGGTTTCTTCAGCCTGGAGAAGAGGAGACTTAGAGGGGATCTGTTGGTGACATACAGGTATGTGAGGGGATGTCACATGGAGATGAGTAGAGACCTGTTCTCCCCTGCAGAGGAAGGCAGGACACACTCCAACAGAGCAAAGCCCAGGGAGCCAAGGTTCAATGCCAGGAAGCACTTCCTGACAGTTAGAACCCCAAGGGTGTGGAATGGACTTCCACAAGAGGTTGTTTAGGCCCCATCTGTGAGGGTGTTCAAAGATATGCTGGACGTGCACATGGTGGGCATGTCATGAGCGGAGCTGGCTGGAGCCGGGGGCCAGACTAGATGGCCCGGGAGGCCCCTTCTGACTCACTCTGTTTCTATGTTTCTGTGTTAACATTCTACCTTGGGATGTCTTTATGACAACCTATTCAAACAGTGGTAGTCATTATGATGACCTATTCAAACAGAGATCTACATTAGTAAGTAAACCGCTTGACCTGTATTGTTTTCATTGAGTTCAATGAGGAATAAAATATTGCTCTCCCTCTCTTTGCCCTCAGGCTGAGTTTTCATATTTGCTTGTCCTGGGTAATGAAAAGGACATTCGACTCTGTCTATGCATTTCTGCCCAAGATGATGGAAGTAATTCATTCTTAACTATGTTCACTGTGTCTTGTACGCAGTCTGGGGAAATGGCAATAAACTACTGCTGAATCTTTCAGCAGTAATTTAATTCAGAATAACTTCTTGTTGAGAACAAAGTTTACACTGGTAACACCACAGCCAGAATAAGTTCCACCAACAAATCAGTCAAAGCTCTCAGTGCAATTGCTTCTTAGGAATGCAGGAGAAATTATGTATGAATATAGAAAAGCTGTTTTTGTTTTCTTGATTATATGGCTTCATTGGCCTGGCTTGCAAATACTGATAAACTTGCCAGTGCAGCTGCACAATCACTTCTGCTTGGTTTTTCCTGCCAGCAGAAGCCAAAAGCTTCCGTCCATGGTTTGTTCAGCATTATATCCAGACTGGGATTTCTGGTTTGTTCCTCTAACAAGGCAGAATCATAAATCTGGGACATGCCTTGGATTATGACTTTGGCTTATTAGGAGTGCAACAAGCCAATGATACTCATAAAACAGTGAAGAAACCATGGATGGCTTGATTGGCTGCTCTCATGGGCAGTATGAACCAAGTGAGAGCAATCGCAGCATGTGTGAGCATGCTTCTTCATCCCCAATTACTCATAGTTATGTGTGAACTGGCTCACTGGGAGCACATGGCTGAATTTCCAGCTGTACCATTAGATCTAAATCCATCTTAATTCACTTACAAAGTGTTTATAGCAGGTTAAACATTCGTAGGTTTGCACAAGTAACGTATTTTTTAAAAGACCTTTAAACATTTGCAGAGTTAACAAAGTAAAGATGCACTGGGTGTGGCACAGGTAAGACTGCAAAAAGTAGTAAGGGGGGGTTGTTTCACCACCCTTGTCTTGCTTGCTGCTTCCCTTTACCCCTGGTGGGATTGGTTACTGTGTTTCAGATGATACAACAACGCCTTGTGGGTAAAACAAAGGGCTGTGGGTGTACAGCGTAACTAGCTTCTGGGACTAGTTACTCGTGATTGTCATATCATGTAAACCAGCTCTGCAATTAGTAGGAAATCCCAGTTCTAAATGCCAATCTACAAAGAGTTCTATAAATACCAGTCCTGTTATGAGGTGGGGGGGTGGTTCATATATGCAGCAAAATTGTGGCAAAGCTTTACCCGGACTGCACCACATTAGTCGGGAGATGACATTCGAATACTATTTCTCTGTTAAAAAAATACTCTTTCCCACTATTCCGATATGTGAGGTTCCCACAACACTTTTTTTAGAGGAGAGCACACCTGCCGTTTGAAATAGTACATCCCGGAACAGCTTTAACTCTTCCCTTTCCTGCACATTTAAATCAGCCTAGTGGAACACGCTAACCATGCATATAGAGCAACATCAGTATGGACAGGCAGGCACGAGGACTAGGCAGTTACGTGTATTCAGACAGCACAGGAGCCACCGCTTCAGAAATTTAAGGCCAGTAGAAGCCCAACATACAAAGTTGCAGCCCGCACATGCACGTCGGGAAATTAAATTAACCAATACAAGCAATCAAAAGCTGGCGGCCACACACAGCGGTAGCTTTGGTTCCCAATCCAGAGCAGATTCAACTTCATCGAAACCCCTCCCGTTCCGCCTGAAGTGAACAAAATGACGGTCCAACTAGCTTTACTTCGCCGCAAGATGGCTCCGCAGAGGGAGGGGTGGGGACTTCCGACTATAAGATGGCGGCCCCGAAGCGGCCTTTGCTACCAATAATGTGGTTCTCCTGACTTCAAGATGGCGGAAATCTCAGCTGGGTGGGGCAGTGATGCCCTCTTCCAAGATGGCGTCCGTGGGAGCCTCTAGATTGAATTAGTTCACGTGACGCAAGAAGGCTAATACAAGATGGCGGCGTCCATACTGAGGGTGCTGAAGCAGCGAGGTTGGAGCTTTTGCGGGTTCGGGCACCGATTTGCAAGAGAAGTGCCTCGGAGAGGTAGTGTACTCTGGAATTCAGTAAAACAGAATAGCTCCTGCAGCAAGTATGGATATTCTTCCTCCCTCTCCATGGTTTTGTTTTGGTCGAATCCCGAGCTTTTAGCAGTTGCAGAGACAAGACAGACATTAAGTAGGCAAAACGTCCCCGTCTTCATAGCAGGAACAGCCACACCGGTTAAACTTCTGGAATTTTTGTGAATAGTACTGGGTGTCTGCTCGTTCTGCACCTGTACTCTTTCGCTCATTAAGGACTTTGGGATTAGTCATATAGTGAAACTAATAAAAGGCTAAGGCAGCTGGTCCAGTGGTGTCTATTTGGCTTGGTGCATGCCATTTCCTTCAGAAGCAGAAGGACTTAACGGTTTGACAATGTTCTGTTATAAAACAGAAAGCAATTAAGTGCATTTTTTTCTAGCAGGGACAAAATGCTAGTTATTGGCATTTCCTTTATTTAGAAATATATTTAGAAAACTTTAGTCAGGTCTTAATTAAGTTTGATCATGAACATATTTGGCTTAGTTCCACATTTGCTGAAAATGGTAGCTGGAATGTTGTAGCATTTAAACTAAATTTGTGTGATATGCATGAAGCCATACACAGGTGGGGGAGGAAAGTATTTCCAATTCCTTGGTATTAGCATTTTTTCCAGGATTTTTTCCTGATTCCAAATTATTTGGCCAGGTCTGTCAACAATTAATTCATATCACTTAATGATGCTTTCTCACATAGCTTTTAAATCTATTGAAAACTTCATTTTTGGTTAGTTTCCCTCTGGTTTTGCTCTTCAGTTCCTGCTGCTTTTAATTGAAGTTTTCTTTGATTGATGCTTGTTTTGTTACATATTTTGAAAGAAAATAACTTGTCTAGTGGCAATTTACCTTGAAAAATGGGACATTAAATCTAAATAAGCATCAATAAAAATTGGTATAAATTTCACCTAGATATTGAAATGTGTGCAATTTTCTTGTAAATTGCACCTAGTTGCAGTGCCCTAGAAGCAACTTGTAGGGCAGATACCTATTAAAATATTATGTTGCATTTACCTCTTGCATTTTTTGCCCTTGTGAGGAACCTAAGGTAGCTTATGTATTCCTCTTCACTTTATCCTCAAAACAACCCTATGAGAGAAGCTAGGCTGAGAGTCAATGACTGACCCATGAGTGAGTTTCATGGTTGCATGGGAATTAGGATCCAGATCTCCCAAGTCCCAGTCAAACATTCTAACCACTATAAAACACTGCCTCTCATCTGTATAGGCACTATGCACACATGTCATACATTTTCTGTTTTAGTGCCCATCCTTTATCCACATAGGATTCTACCGATGTCATAAGAGCATGCTTACCCTCCTATAATCAGTCTTTCCCTGCTCCTTGAGTATTGATTAAACTAAAGGAGTATTTTATCAAGCAAAGATAAGTAGAAGATGAACATCATGAAGTATAAATCAAATGCCACATCGAACTGGAAGAGCGTATTCAGATGATTGTTAATGAATCACAGTTTTACCAGTACAGCTGTATTTCCACAAATCATTAAGATATGCTGTTGTGTGCACTTTACTGGCGAGAGCATAGCTTTGCTGCTGCTCATCTTCTTCCCTTTGCACAAGAAGGAAGTGCATGACCACTGGGAGAAGCTGTGAGTAAGGAATGCTGTCTGCCACTACACTTTAAAGTAGACAAGTGCTCATCTGACTTTTTTTTTGCCCATTACAAAGTATTTTTAACCATTCACAACCCTTCAGATTAATCTGTTAATAACAATAACAGTGGGAATCCATTATTTATAAGGGCTGTGGTTGGGGTGTTAAAATATGCCTGCAACAAAAGTGTTCAACAGAAGAGATCCCAACCCCTCCATATGTTTCCTTCAAAAAGATACACTTTAGGTGATGCTTACTCTCATGCATTACAATCTAGCCTATAAATGCCAGTGGTAATACTTGTAATTTATTATGCTGTTTCTCACAGTCCCTTTCTGATGCTCATAAAAATCATAGCATTATAAAGATGAATCTCTGTGCCCTTTTAAAAAATTAAGTCCTGCCCCATATTTTACCTTAAATTAAATTTACCTTAAAGGAAATTTAAGCCACAATTCTTACTGGCATATGTTTATCCAAAAAGTTCTTCAAAATATTATACACAGGATGAAACTGGATCCATTATTTACCTGTCCTAATATTTAATTAGGGATGCAGGTGGTGCAGTGGTTTAAACTGCTGTGCTGCTGGGCTGGTTGATTGAAAGGTCGTGGGTTCGAATTAGCACAACTGGGTGAGTTCCCATTGCTCCTTCCCAGCCCCTGCCAGCCTTGCAGTTTGAAAGCATGCAGATGCAAGTAGATTAAAAGGTACCACTTCAGTGGGAAGGTAACAGTGTTCCGTGCACTTCAGTGTTTAGTCATGTTGGCCACATGACCACAGAGACTGTCTGCAGACAAACGCTGGTTCCCTCGGCTAGGAAACGGAGATAAGCACCACCCCCTAGAGTCAGGCATGACTGGACTTTAATGTCAAGGGGAAACCTTTACCTTTTAATATTTAATTTAAAATTATATCGCTACAATATATACCTCTTTTATGTCCCTCAAGAGGCAGTTACAACACATGCAATGGCCAGGTGGGTGTTGCTTCTTAACAAATGTCTCCTACATTTTGCACCCAAATATCTTCTTGTGCCACTGTTCAGCTCTGGGAGAGTGGCATGTTTGGGGATGGCATGCTTGTAAAGTTTCTTATCATAAATGCTTACAGATTCCCATGATTACAATCTTCACTTATTTCCTCAAAGCCCTGGTCAGTTCTTCCTGTCGCTTATGGTGTCTATTCAGAAGTAAGTTTCACTGAGTTCAATGGGATTTACTTTTGGGTAAGTCTGTGGAGGACTGTGTCCTTCATTCAAGGCCCAGACTTAAGTATACTGTTACTAAGCCTTGAATGATTAATTGTTACAGTTTGCTACAGCTATTTCACCTGACCACATAAGGTTTGCATTTTTATCCAACCATTTTATTAAATTCAAAGTAGGACGTGAAATGTTATAGGCATCTTATCAAGGGCTAGAGAAGTATGGAGACGAAAGTAACTTCTGTGTTTCTCCTGCTCTGCAAAAGACTTAAATGGACAGCTTTTGTCCTCTAAGCCTCTTGCCCTGCTCACAAGGAGAAAAGGCTGGAACCCTGCTAAGATACTCTGTATTCTGGTGAAGGATCACTTCACCTCTCCCCTTCCTACACCCGCTAGTGGCAGCCCTGAGGTCAGTCTTGTGACAGTTTTTTCCATGCTGCCTGCAAGGGAGGAGGAGGACACTCTGAATTCAGAGTTCCCACTCCAACTGTGGGGTGAATTTCCAAGGCTGGAGCTGCGACTGAATTTTCCTATGGCCAACCAGACATCTAGTGGGCATAAGGTTGCATTCAAAAGTACTTTAAATATGAAATCTTGCAAAACATCATCTCAATGGGCATCTTCATCTTTTCATACAAGGGGGAATTCCTTTTTAAAAAATCATCCCTGTTATAACATGTATCTACAATTTGAAGGGTTAAAAAAAGTCTCACATTGCTGTTTTTTAAATTCCCATGCAAACTGATTCAGATTTATCAACTAAGACAGCCTTATTTGGGTGACAGGCCTATACCTCGAAGGAACGTCTTAAGGCTTCATGTGTCCATGCCATTTATTCCAGCATACATTGTATCTGTTCTTGTAGTGGTAGAGGTATTTATTACTACTTGTAAGCTGTATTTAGAATTACTTTTAAGTGAACAGCAAAGATTTTGGATCCTGTGTGTAGGATGTAGAACTCCTTGATTATCACAGAGTAAAACATTTCCATTATCCCTTTAGGTTCCTTTTTGGAGAACAGTAAAATATCAGCACTCGTGTGTGTGTGGGTGTGGGTGTGTGTGTATATAATCTTTCTCTTATTACAGAGATCAGTTTCAAACTCGATGAGAAAACAGCCCACAGCACCTTGGATTTGTTCGGCAAGGACACTGGTGTCATTTACCGGATGCTGGGGATTGACCCCACCAAAGTTCCCCAGAACCCTGAACGCTTCAGGGACTGGGCTATTGTACTGGGTGACACTGCCATGTCCAGTGGCTGTCATTACTGGGAAGTGACTGTCAAGCGATCGCAAGAGTTCCGCATTGGAGTGGCGGATGTGGACATCTCCCGGGAAGTCTGCCTCGGAATGGACGACCATTCCTGGGTCTTTACATATGCTGACCAGTGTTGGAATGCCATGTTTGCCAATGAGACCACTCCCATCAGTATCACTGACAACCTGGAGAGAGTGGGACTGCTCTTGAACTGCAGCAGCAGCAGCACCCTTGGCCTGGTGGATACAAACAAACATGTGCTCATCCACAGCATGCCTGTGCCGTTCCAACGTCCTCTGGTGCCTGCCTTTGCCCTCTGGGATGGTGAACTGTTAACTCATTCAGGACTCGATGTGCCTGAGAAGCTCAAGGAGAAACTGAACATTTCTTAAGCCCAGCTTGTTCCCCGAGAGAGATTTTATTCCTGGGAGACCAGAGTACTACATAGCAAATGGAAACAGATTGTGGACCATGGAATAGTCCTGGAATCAAGATCACTGAGCCTTGCCATATTAGGAGCCAGGAGTTTTCCCCATCCTACCTGCTTTCTTCTTAGAAAAAGGTTGGTCATCTTGATTCCAGAGCAATATCTGCCTTACTTTGCAGTGAAGAAAAATTTTACTCAATGCACTCAGTGACAGGAGCACGTTCTAACTTTGACTCTGCTCCATCATCTTCTGTTGCACAGACTGATTTGCTTTACATCTGTTTTGTGGGATTTCCTGTTCCAGAAAGTATGCTGGGGAGAAAGTTGCCTCTTGAAAGTTGCCTTTCAACAAGCAAATTTGTTTCTTGACAGCTATTGTGAATGTGCTTGATCAAACACAGTGCTCTTTTCCCATCTCCTCTGATTATGTGAGACTACCTTCCCATCAGAAGTATCTGCTGATGCTTTCAAAGGTCTGAAGGCAGGAAATTTCCATTTCGTAGGATGCTCTGTGTGTAATGCATAGCCACCATTGCCCCCTGCTGGTTCAGTGGGAGGACAGCCAAGCCTACATCTCAGCCCTTGGTAGTCACAATCATTGCTGTATGTATCGATTTCATCAGAATTACTTAACTACCACCCGAGAAGCTCGCCTCGTTCCATGTGATACCCTGGCTTAGCAAGAAGCTACAACTGCAATATTATGTTTAAAATAAAGACTTAAGGACTGGGCCAATTTAGGTCTCCTGCTGCATATGTCCAAACTAGGAGACTTGTGGAGGAGAAGTCTGGCGGAAAGGTGCAACTAACCACTATCACTTGAGTAATGATTTTCTGAGATCTATCACAATGGCAAATCCTCTGGAGCTGTATTTTATAGAATATAGCTAAGCCACAAGGAGCTGTAATTGAATCCAGGAGCAGCAGTCTCATATGTTGTATTGGCAGTTGTTAAACTATCACAATCAATGAAGATGAATTCATTTAAAGCAATGTCTTTTCTACTTATTTCCTAGGTTGCTTGGATTAGCCTTTTCCAAGAACCATCCATGCTTTGGGAAGGGGCTCATGTGTAAAAATAAAGCTGCAATGTCAGGATATACAGATTAATTTACAAAGCCTGCATCAGTGTCTATTTGGCTGTAACATTGTGCTGCTTCAGGGTTTGAGCTTTAACTGAAACAATGTGGATGTTTTAGAAGATCTAGAGGTACTGCTGGAAAGGAGAGAAGGTATTTGGGATCATGAGGCAACTTCTTCCCCTCTAGTATATGATCTAACCCTTAAGTTTTATTTATTTAAAATTTTTGTATGCTGTCCCTTATGCATAGCATCTCAGGATGGTTTACAATCATTAAAACAACCACAATAAAACTACATAATAACAATTAACCAAAAATATAAGTTAAATAAAAGCAACTGTTAAACATTAGTTTTTCAGATAACAAATAAAAAGGTTTTAACCTGGCACCAAAAAGAATATAAACTCGGCCCCAGGAGAACATCTCCGGGGAGTGCATTCCACAATCTGGGTGCCACCACAGAGACGACCCTCCTCTGAGTAGATGTCAGAGATCCCAGTCCGTTTTTGCCCAGAAAACTGATTTGACAATCTCTTCTTCTCTTTGGCCTTTGAATGCCTTTGGCCTACACAGCAAGATCTGCTTGGGTTTGCAGACAGTCTGAACTGGTAGCTGACATATTTAAGGTGCCCCTCATTGGTTTTTATGTACACTAGCTGTTGTGTTACCAAATGAAGTTGCATATGGAACCAACGAGAGGAAGGAGGGGTTTTGCATGAGAGATGGAAGAATATGACCAAATTATTCAATATGAGGGAGGGCCTGAAAAAACTAAGCATGTAATCCACCTCCCTCTAATCTCTGTTCAAGTCTTAAACTGATATAAGTCTTTCATGCCTGCCAGCTTTCAGAATTAAGAGAAAGTGGCTAGTTAAATCTGTGGGGGAAAATGCAGGTAATATAGCAAACTTTCAGCATTCTCACACCATGCTTTCTAAGTTCTCCTTGGAGAGGTCTTCAGCAGCTTCCTCAGCCTGTCTGGCTCCCATTTTGCAGGTGTCTTGGTAATCCTTGAGCAACTTCACCACCTCCAGGTGATTGAACTGAATAGCATCATCCAAGGCAATGTTCCCCCACCTGTGGAGAAGACAAGCTGTGAACCCGTGTGATGCTACCAGAGGATGTAGTGGGCAATGGAAGACTGGAGAACCACCCACTATCAACACCAAGCAGATCACCCTCCATATTTTAAATGTTCATAAGCATCTCTCTGAATGCTCACCAGCGTGAAAGGTGAAAACAATCTATGGTGCAGACATGCCAAACCAGCCCACACACCACAGAAGAAACTAGCTTCTGGAAATCACTGGAAAACCTGCAGCAAATCACTGTTGCTTTCTTCAACAAGATGCCTTTCACTTGTTTTAACATGCAACATCTAACATCTATTAGCCCTGTCCAGCATGGCCAATAATCAGGAATGCCAGGTACTGTAGTCCAAAACACCTGGAGCGTAGCAGGTTGGGGAAGCCTGATCTAACCTGAAACTTCTAGAGAAACTAGAAACTTCTTATGGAAACTGCTAGAGCCTGTTGCACATGTGTGGGACAAAACTGATCATAGTCTTGCTAAATGAAAAGCAAACTTCACAGAGATGTAACATGTCCAAGCTTCTCCTCTCTAGCTGTTTCTGTTCTTGGTGTCCCAGAGAAAGGGACAGAAGCTGCCTGTGTCTTTCTCTACTCCATGTCATATACTTAACACCAGAGCAAGAGGAAGCCCATGCTACATACCTACCTACCGTCCATGTTTAGGGAAAAGGATGCTAAATTATGGTCCAGGCCTATATAGGTCTGCACAGCTTGTGATCTATCATGTCAAATGGAGCTCACCATCCATCTTTTTGTAGTTCCCAGCAGAGATGTATTTAATCCTTAAGCAAATATACACAAGTTATTATAATTATACTTGTGATAATATACATGGCTGGTGTTGACATAGTGAAGACTTTTTTAGTTTTATGATTGTGTGTGAATTACTGTCCATGGATGAGGGCAAGCGAAACCCCTTCCCACTCTGCAATTGTTCCTCTGCCCACCCATGCTCACCTGTCTTTGACGAATGGATTGACTCTGCAGGCCTCCACCAGAAACTTCACAACCTCCAGATGTCCTGAGAGAGAATCACATAGTTGGGATGGTTCTTTTGAACCTTTCCAACTTTTCCTCAAATACAAGTCTGCACCCGACCCCACCCCAGTGGTTGAGTGTTGTAATGTAGAAGTTCTTCGAGCAGAATATTGGTGGGTTGAAGGAAGGTTATTATAAAGCCAGTAACTCACCCATAGTAGTGAGTTATCTTGAGGATCAGAGAAGGGTGTGTGTGGTAAAGTATGTAAACCCAAATCCTAGGGCATGTGATTCCAAACAACTTGTTGATTCACACCAGTGGCATGCAGAAGCTTTGTGTGTGAGTCGCTGTGTTGCCAAAGACAGGAGCACCTAAGCTATGCTGAAACTAGTTAAGTATGCTTTCTTTCAAACTTTTTCTTCCAAAAGATGGAGAAAATAATATGACTGGATTTAGGCCAACATGGGCTCTCAAGCTGAAGAAAAGTCTTTGTTTTGGAGCTTTTGATAGAGAAATTTAAATAAAACCTATAGTTAAACAAAGACCTGGTTGGTTTGTAATGACAACCCAGAGTACGGATTGAATTGTTGGTTGTCCTTGCATGCATATCCTGCAGTGTGCTTGAACTATGGTTATTAACCGTGAATAATCCAGGGTTTATCACCCAACAGTTGTAGCAGCATCACCTCCCTACCAGACCACATTCCAGGGGAGAGAGGCACTAGAGAGGTTCATGGCAGAGTGCCCACGGTGGAAGGTCTAATGTGTGTTAGGGCCAGCAATTCTACAGATGAAATGTGGCCCTTATTCATGCGTTAGGAACTACAACACATTTCTGCCCCCAGCATGCTACCTTCAGCTGCGGCTACATGTAGAGCTGTGCGCGAGTCATAGTCTTTCTGCTCCATGTCCATGGCTGACAGAGCAAATCTAGAGGGGAGCCAAGGAGAATGAAGTCAAAGGCAATGCAGGGCAATGTCGGTTATGCCCAGATCAGTTGATGAGTGTCATCTCTAAAAGTCTCTCTCCAACAATATCTTTTCCTTGGGCTAGCAGACCCATACCTTCGAAGGGCAGAGACATCACCACTGTAGGCAGCAAAGAGCAGGTTTACAACAGTCTTGTTCTGAAAGATACAGAACAGAAGATGTGTCACTGCGATCTTTCCTGCAGCTAGGATTGCTCATGTTCTCTTCCATCCAAAGACTATTGAAAAATATATCTGATACATGGTATCAAGTCCTCATGATCCAGAGGAAATTAAAAACACTTTCAAAATAATTGCATGCATAATTGCTAATGCAAAAATCTTCTAGTAGTCAGTTTAAATGCGGCACATGCTTGATACAGGATTGTATTATAGATAAGGCACTTCAGGTCTGTCAATGTTTCTCAGACGTCACCTCCTCAGATCATGCACTGCACCCAGATATTTCTGCCAGTTAATTACAATCAGGTCCTGCAGTCTCCTAGCTCTGTCATTCCAGTCCGTCTATCTCCACCTGTATTTTTCTTTATTCCCTTCCCTACCTCTGCTCTAACCATACTCAATTTGACAGCAGTTTGTTTCCTTACTCTAACTTCATCTCCTTCACGGCGGGGGTCCATTTTGCGAGTACAGTGGAGCAAGTTGTCATAGTTGTGGAAGTTAAACAGCGAGACCAGTTCCTGGGGAAATGAAAATGAAAAAGCTGCGGGCTGAGTAAGAAAGCACAGAGGAACACGGGGTGGGGAGAAGGCAAGCAAGGAGTCATAGAAAGGGCACCACGATAAGGGCAAAACGCAGCAGGATTTTTTACTCCCAAAGCTTTGCGTTCTTCCCTGCAAAGCTAGAATAAGATTCACATCCTGCACCAGAAAAAGTTGACTTCTAAACTTGCATAGATTAAATACATTTGTTTTGCTAAATTTAGGGCTTCTTTATATGAGGCACTTAGCCTGTTGCCTTCCTGGGGCTTCTTCCATTTTCTTTGCAGGAGGAAGACTGCAACCTTTGCATTGGATTCCCTTTTTTTTGGGGGGGGGCAGGGTTGTCTTTGCCCTTCCATATATTCCATTAGCCAACCATAAAGTGGCCGTGCAGTGTAGCTGCAGTATAATGGAATTGCAGCCGTACATGTGGCTTTCAGCCTGGTTTCTTCATTTGAAAATCGATGGCTGACTTTGCTCACAAACTACAAAATGGCTGGGAAACACAGGGCAGGTCCTCAAGGATGACAATATTGTGAACTTTTGAGAATGAGGGATCACAAATACACAATAAATGCCTTGTGTTTACGTAGATGCCCAACGTCTCCTTTTGCCAATCATAGGTTAGCAAAGAGCCATCGAAGGCTCTACTCTGCACTTGTTTTTAAGCTCTTCCTTGAAAAGCATGTGGGAACACGCACAGCATTTTGGTGTAAGGACTTGCATTCTGTTTTCCTTCTCACTGTGCTCACACTTCTGTGTCCAAAATAAGTTTCCTTTCCTTTGCAGAATATATGACATACAACTAAATTATATATGCTGTAGACAGAGCCTGCAGATCCCAAGGCAATAAGGAACTGCATTACTTTTTTTTAACAGAGGAGGTTCAAACTGCTGCTGACCAGGTAATCGAAACACAGTTTGAGTAATGTTAATTGCCCACCTCATGAGGCAGAGATCAAATGTGCCATCAGCAAATGGCATTATTGCTCATCAATTCACTCTGCCTCTTACATACGTTAGGTGCAAGTATGTATTTTTTTGTTTTCTTAAGGGATTTGAGAGATTTAGAATGGTTCTCTTGATAAATTCTGGAGATGAAAAACATCAAATTGAACATGTACAAAGTGCATTCCCATTCATGCCTCCTCCATCCCTTTTTGTGAGGTCAGTTTACTGTTATTTTACTGATAAGGAAATAAAGTTAAGGAAGTGACTTGCATAAACTGCCTCTCCGCCCACCCTGCATTCTGTGCAGTAGATCTTGCTGGCTCTTTTATAGTGGCTTCTATCAGACTACATTATGAACCTAGGAAACCTACCTGGCAAAAGCCAATCCCACGTGTGCTATTACCACCTTTATCCAGAGGGGGTGACAGACACATCACGCCCATGACATTGGGCACCACCAGCAGGATAGCCCCAGAAACTGCAGACTTGGCAGGTAGACCGACCTGGGGATAAGGAAGCGCAAGGATTAGATGAAGGGTGCCGCAAGCTTGTCTGAGTCTCACAGAACTCTCCTCCAGGCTCAGTCTTAAACCAAGGAAAGAAATGAAGTTGGGCAAAGAGACCAAATATATTGGTCTGCAATATATTAACATGTAAAGATCATAATAGCAGGAGCTCTCTGCAGGCTGATCAAGATTAAATTATGCCCAGTGCATAAATGCACAAGTTGCAGTGAGGTGGACTGGAAGAAAGAAGCGGACTGATGGAGCTGTGTCTGCAGCTTCAGTGACTGCCCCTTAGAAGCAGCAGAAAAAGGGGGCTTACAAGGTGTGCGCATGAGAAGCCACAGCACTGGGCTGGCCCATCTATGCTAGTATACCAAGCTGGGTCTCTGGGTTGTATTTTCTTAGAGATGGCTGAGTTATTCTCACACTCAGTTGCATCCTTCCTAGCTGAAGCAAGTCACCCAATCAGCACTTCCCTTCAGAAACAGGTGGCCAATGACAGGATGCATTCCACATGCCTGAGAAGAGCATTGGGTTCTGAGAATCATGTGGTGGTTGAACTTCCAGCTTACACGTTGTGTCTGGAAGTGGTAACATGCAAGCCAGAAGTTGCTGTCTGGGATTCTACACAACACTGGATGGGGCCATTGAGCATACTTTTTAGATTTCAAAACTCAGCAGTCTGGGCCAGCAAAATGCCCTCCTCTGGCTGCAGGGGTCCAGCATGAACAACAGCAATACCAGACTGGGAAATTGCAGTCGTCTGCTGCTTTGCTTGAATGTCTTTGTGCACCCAAACTGCAATGCAGGATACATCACCTAGGCTGGCTGTGGTTAACATGCCAGGTTTGGTTCATCTTAACCAAGGATAGGCAACCTGATGTCCTCAGGATGTTGTGGATTACAGTGCCCATAAACACTGACCATTGGCCTTGCTGGCTGGGGCTGGTGGGAGTTGTACTCCAAAGCATCTGGAAGACACCTGGCTGACTATTCCTGATTGAAAGCCTTCAACGATTCTTCAGTGGCTCTTCCCCCAGTACTGCTTTTTCCCCACTTACAGCAGAACTTACATGGAAGGCAAACTGCCCTGAGAAGTCATACATGCCACACGAGTGCATGAGGCTGAGGGTGTTGCGAACTGCTTCATCACTCAGCACACGCTCGCCAGTGATAGGGCAGATGCCGCCATTGGCCAGTGTGGCTGCCATGACACTGCCGGACTCGCAGGTCACTTCCACAGAGCACAGCTTTGCAGGGTGGTGGGAGGGAGGGAAAGAGAAAAGAGAGGTGGTTTGTGCATTTATTTCTTTTCTTTACCATTCAAATGCTGAAGCTCTCTGGGTGGTTAGCAATTCATAGGGCACAATAAAATGCAGTACAAAATAGAAATACAATAAGAAGGTATAGAATTTCAGTACAAAATTTAAAACAGAATTTAAAACCATTGGAATAGCTAAAACACATTTGATACAGCTAGAGCTGTTACAAGAAAAAACCACTGACATATGTCATTAAAAGCCATTGATGGTTGTTAAATACCTCAGCACAGAGGGCAGTATGAACCTGGCACAGAAAGGGCAATGGAGTTGGCACCTGGTGGGCCCTAGAAGGGAATTCATTCCAGAACAAGGGGAGCAACACTGCAAAGGCTGTTGGAGGGCTGCCACCTTTCATACCTTGGAGAAAAGCCACCAGATGTTGCGTGTATCATCTGGACAGATTGAGATCAGTTATGGTGTTCTAACAGGTATTGTGGCCCTAATATAACTGGCATTATATCATAGCAGGGACAGCCTGAAAATCAGGACCCAGAAGTATGAATAAAACCCAGCTTTCCTAGACTCTGCTTCAGGTGGGCATTGCATGGCCCACACTCAGTGCTGATTTAACATGGTCCATGATCCCAAGCTGGGCCCATCACTGCCAGGCTACAGTCCATGAAAGCTGAAGCCATAATAAATCCATTACTCTTTAAAGTGCTGCAACTTTGGTGTTGCAACAGAGCAACACGGCCACCCTTCTAGCAACTGTTTAAATATATTGTTCATTTCCTTGAAGCTTTGAGGTGCAGACTAAATATCTCAATGAACACATTCAGACTTTCACAGAAGAAAAAGCACAGGATGGGCTCACCAAACTCAGACACAGCATTTTAATCCATCCCTGCCATGTCCAATGGAAAGACTTCAATTATTCATCCTCAGATAGGTTGCTCTCTTCTGTGGTCAATCTTCTCAACTCAGAAAATTACTCAAGACTCAAACCTCTAGTTGAGACCAGGTCAAAGGAAACTCACCTGGAAGTACAAGTCAAGGGCTGCCATCATGTCCACACCACGTGGAAAACACTACAGTGTAGGGATGAAAAAAAAAGAAAACTGTATCAGACACTGGCAAGGATTCCAAGTTGGGACATCTCATCCAACAACCCAAGATAGTGACCCAAAATAGTTTCCAGCAGTCCCTTTTCTACGGGATGGAATGCTAGTTGTGTTCATGCATAATGATAACCCATGGTATGAGATGTTGAATTCTAGACCATGTGTGGATTTGTAGCTGCAATAGCAAACCATAGTTTGTTGACCACAAGCAACCCAAAGATGTAATTTACATGTAACAACAGCTCAAACAATGGGCTGTCGTGGCTGAGCAGGAGAGCGACTTCCACTTTTAATCAGCAATCTACAATGGACTCATTCATAAGTCATTGAGTATGATATACAAACCCAGAGAGCTGGTTAACCAGTTTCTTGTTTAACCCCCAAACAATCCATTAGTCTGGGTTTGTGCATCATGCTCAACCATCTATAAATGAGCCAACTGGAATTTGCTTAGTAAACAAACAGAAGTGGCAGGTGTACAGGAGGTAGCATATTCACTCACTCCCACTTGTGCATGGTAACTCATAGGTTGTTTAATCCCCCGATTGTCATTATCAGCCAACCGGGTTGGTAAGTAACTCATGGTTTGCTGCTGTACTGTGTAGTCCAAGTTGTTTAAACCATAGTTAAGAGTGAGACAGAGTGCTAAAAGTCATTCATGGATGGTTTTGCCATGCTACAGAGACAGTGAGCGAGAGTGGTTAGAACCCCTGGCTCTTGTACATACCAGTACTAAAGAGATGCAAAAGCACTTGGAATACAGGGAAGGAGTGGGCAATGGAGAAAGGAAACAAACAAGCCAGGGACTGAGAAAGTAAACCATGGCTGGGCTGATCAATTGCAAGATGAAGCCTAGATAGGCAACCAATATATAAATAAAGCAGGCCAGTGTTTCCTTCTTGCCTCCTTGTTACCTTTTTGTCCTTGAGATAGTAGCCAATGGCATAATTCCGATCTCCTGTTTCTTTCTCTGACTGAAACCTACAAGAGAAGAGACGTGCATGCACCCTTGTTTCTCTCCAGACTCATGTCTAAGAGGTTTTTATAGACCATTCCCTTCAGCATATGCTTTCAGAATGATTTACATTACCATTCAAAGGAAATGCTCTCAGAAGAAATTACCATTCAAAGGAAAAATGGCAATATTCCTGCCTGTCTGGTTGCCAGCAAGTCCGGAAGTAAGGCGTGACACTGCCCTACGTGTTGCACTAATCAGCTTCACAACAAACCACATTACAGGCAAAACGAGCACAATTAGCATCTCCTGGGAAAGCAACCTTGATTTTCTGCCATGGCCTTACGTGGTATTGCTGAATCCCACATATTCATTTCCTGCCATCTTCTTCAAATAATCCACAACCTAGGAGGAGGAAACAGGAAAAATGGTTTCCAGATATGCAACATAATGCAGTCCTCCTCTCCGCTCCTCTCCATTGGCTGGGAGGCAGGTGTCAAAACTCTTTCAGCCTGAGGGCCAAATTCCATTTTGAAGAAGCTTCAGACCCTCCTGCATTCCAGTGGTGGTGGAGCCAAGGACAAATTGGGTTTGGCCCAAATACAAAGAACTGGTGGTATGTTTTATCTTAAAGATCTTATTGCCAGTAGTTAAGCCTTAATGGAGGCATTTCATCCTTTCAGAATGGGGAAAAACTGCCCCAAACCCACGAAAACAATAAGCAGTGGTCAAGTGAAAGGGGGTGTGGCCATCTGAGGAATCCTGGGAGGCTGGATGGGGACCCCAGGCAGGCCAGGTCTGGCCCCTAGGCATGAGGTTCTCCACCCCAGCTTAGGCTGTAAGCCCGTAAGCGGTGCTGTGCCACTGCTAACTTTATAGTTTATATAGTGTCTTGATTTTTGGGGTACTTGGGAATAGTAATTATAATTTTCATGAAGTTCCAGCAAATAGATTGGGATGTCTCATATGGCAGAAATCTTCAGTGGGTTGTCATATTAGAGTAATAATTTTGCACTGATCATACAACTATCTCTAATCAAGCGCTAGCTGGGTCTTTCATAAATGCTTATTTAAATTATTTTAAACAAGTTTTGGATTGGCTTTAAGTGTAGAATCCTCTCCAGGTGGTGCACAGGATAAAAAACAAAAACATACAAATAGTATGTAAATAGATAATAAACGCATATACAGTAAAATACTAGTATGCTCTAGAAAAACATCACTAATAAAACCTGCAGCCCACAGTTTTATGAGAAGGCCAGCAAAAATAGCTGGGTCTTCAGAGCCTTTCTTGGAGAACCACAAAGAATGGCCCAAAGCCTAAAGGCTCTGAAAAGCCCCTCTCATCATTGCAATTTAGCCAGGGGCAAATTATGTTTGAAAGCACAGCCTTTGTCCTGCATATCACCTCAATCAACCTTCAGCACTAGCTGTGCACATGATTCAGGAAGTGCAAGCTTTATCAGACATCAGAATTGTGTTGCAAAATAAATGGTCTGATTGTCCAACGTTGGCAGCAAGTACTGTTGCTTCCAGACAAAATTTTTCAAGGGAATTGCCCTATCCCTTTTGCTTGGGGGTCCTAGCGTTCCTTCTTCTAGTCTGGAAGAACCTTAGGTTCCCCCAATGCAGGTGCTGGCCTCTGAGAAAGCATAAAACAGAGTCTTCAAATAGGGGAAATTAAAGGTCACACTCACATAGTCAAACTTCTCAGCTTTCTTGCAGCCCATCTGAAATAAAGAAAAGAAAACTCATCTGGACTCTTGAAAAAACTGCATCCGTGGCAAATTCCAATGAAGGTCAGCCATGGGCACCCCAGACCAAGTTTTCAAAGGGACATAAGGCACCATGAATCTGGACTCAGTTCTTGAGCAGCAGGCCAAGGGCTCACAGATGGTCTGAATCCTTGAGAAGGCTTGGGAGGGTGCTGGCCAAGATCTGGCCCTGCGTATGGTTCTGTGCTATGAGTTGTTTCATGTCTGAGCATGAAAGAAGGCATCTTCCACTTTGGCCCAGGAAGGGCTCTGCAAGGTTTGGGTTTGGATGTACCGAGGAAGAAAGAGCATGTTTGGCAAATCCAGTGCCTCTTCGAGGTCTGAGCCTATTGGCAATAGCAGTTACTAACTTGCCTGAGGGGCACAATCATAATTCAAAGTATAATTCTGATCTGTGAACTGAAGCTGGAACCAGCATTCTGCTTGCTGAGTTTGGTGTCAAACCCGCTCCTCACACTGTGCCCCCTTTATTGATCCACTTTAGTTTCCCTCATGATTTCAGAAGCAAAAGGCTCAGTCTGCTTCCAAGAATGAGGCACGTCGTGATGCAGCCTACTTGTGGCTTGGTGGATTTCCCCAGAGTCCACCGTATAATCCTCACATAACCTCCACAGGGGGTGCAGGTGCCCCGGCTCATTGTGGGCTCAAGGACCCACGAGGCGCCACAGCACCTCCTCTGAAGCCAGCTGGTGATTCTCCACTGATGAGGCTGGTACTCATAGGAGCTTTGTGTGAGGATGTGCTGTCTGCTGAAAGTGGCTTGTGGGGGATTACACAGCATGATGGAGCAAGCTCTGATGGGCCAGTGGCTGGAGAGGAACTGATTGGTGGTGAGTCTAAGGAAAGATGAACTCCTCTCAGGGAGCTCCCTCAGATTTTAATGCCTTCTCCTGAGATTTAATACCCAACAAGTGCAGGCTCTGGATTTTGGAGGGCCACCGGGCAAGGCATGCTTAATGGGCCCTCTCCTTCAGTGAGGTAGCCTTCTCGGCACTTGGCCCCCAGCTGCTCTTGCTCTCCCCCTTCTTGCCTGGCAGGAAGCCAGTGAGCAAATAGCCAGTAGCATCTGCTGCTCCTCTTTCTCATCACCGCTGTTGTCCAGGCTACAGTGAGATGCAGGTGAGCAAGCAGGTTGCCATGGTGAAGAAGAAGCAGGCCTGGAGGCTCTTGTTAGTGGGGCCCTGCAGGGTGCAGGTGCTTGGCAGGGGCCTGACCGTGTCTCCTCCGGATGCTGGCTCTGGCTGTCCTTACCCTGAACTCAGCAGGGAATATGGCTGATGCGACCCATTCTCCCTAGACCACCCAGTGCAGTGCAGTGCAATGCAACTCAAGCCCACCTTTGGGAGTAGGACCGTAACTGCAGGCTGCTTACCCTGATGAGGGAGCTGATGACAATGGCCCCTGCATTCACCATAGGGTTGTGGGGAATCCCTGGATGCAAAAAACAAAAACACTGTTAGGGGAGTGTCACTCAACCCTCAAATGCCTCCCCAAGTCAAGGCCAAACTTATCTCGACCTTCCTCAAATTGGTGCCACTCTGGCATGTTGGATATTATTATTTCATTTCTATACTGTCCCACAGTTAAAGCTCTCTGAGTGGTTTACAACAATCCATAAAACAGGCACTAAAATGCAATAAAACATCATAACATCAGAAAAAAAATTAAACAGCTTAAACCAGCTAAAGCAGACAGTAGCTAAGATTGCTCTACAAAACACCTCCCCCTCACCAGTGGCCAAGTGAGCCTTTAAAGGCCTTGGAAAAGAGGGCAGCCTCTGAAAAGAGGACAAAGCTGGCCGGAGTGGAGAGGTTGTTCCACAGATGGGGGGTACCACCGAGAAAGACCCCCTGGTTGCCACTTTCCCCACTTCCCTCAGAGTCAGCACTTGAAGGGGCTAAGTGTGACACCGAGGTAGTTGGAAGAGGTGCTCTGACAGTGTTGCAGTCCTAAGTCATGTTCGGCTTTATAGATTAAAGGCCACTTCAGTGCCCATCACACCTACCATTTGCTACATTAGCTGGGAGTAACAGGAGTTGTATTGCACTATAACCTAGTGGAGGACGCTAGGTGGGGGAAGACTGAGCAAGTTTGCGATACAAACAGCAATAGTTATCCTCATGGAGGATAACTGTGGAGTGTTGCTTATTCACATACCTCAGCTTGGCCTCAAATTAGTGGGGGCTTTGCCTGAGGTGGAAGAAACACACACAATGCCCTGTCATGAGTAATACAAACTGTCCTACAGGTTCATTCATATTATCAGTTAATAGCTGCTACTAAATTAATGTATGAACTTTCCAAACCATATAAAATAAAATTCATAAGCAAGAGAACATGGGGTGAGGTAACGTCACAGCCTGAGCAAACATGGAGAGAAATTAGGGCAAAATGAATCCGGCTCCCCTACCTCTTACAACATTCATGTCTCCATTACATTTTAAAAACCCTGGTTTAACTGGGGAGGAGACATGAAGCATCACTGGGAGAAAGACGTACTGAAATTCCCAGAGCACCCCAGTGAAAGATCACTTGGCTGTCTGCAATTCATGGGGAAAATAGAGGGAACTGTTCATTTGGGGGATGGCAAAATTTTTGAGGAGAGATTTTATATCCCACCTTTTTCCTGTCAAGGAACTCAAGGTAGCTCACAATTCTATGTAATTCTATTACTGTACTATCATTTCAACTACATCCAGCAACCTCTCCCAACCTGATGCCCTTCAGGCTGGCCACGTTGGCTGGGAATTACGGGAGTTGCAGTCCAAGACATCGGGAAGGTACAGGCTGTTATAAAAGATGATTTTTGCTGCCACAATCCTGGCAAGCTCTATCACTTCACACATGATGTGGCAGCAAACCTGGACTTGAGAGGTATCTCTTCAAGAGATGTTTCTCCTTACACAATAGTCCTTGCACATGACATGCTTAGCTGTGTACTCCTTAAAAATGGCATCTCGCAAGAGATAAGGGCTTGCTCAAAGGCACTCAGAGAGCTCTGTGGCTGGAATGGCAGGATTGGAAACTTGGTTTTTAATGCACAAATACACAAGGGCTTCTCTCCACCACTACTCCATCCCTTTTCTCACCTTCCTCGTTGAGAGAGAGCTTGTCATAACGCAGCCCACTGGGCTCTTTGCCCACATATTGATGAACGCGTTCAGTGCCCAGTTCACTGACAGCGACAGCGTATTTCAGGGGCTTGACACACGACTGCAGGCAGAAGGGGGTCTTGGTCTGGCCCATGGAATGTCTGGCAGAGAGGGCAGAAAGAATAAATCAAGACGATGGGGCGGGGTGATTCAGCAACATGTTAAGTAACTAAACATAAATAAGGACAAGCACAGCACCGTTGTGGAGAGCAGGTAGGAACGTTATACCTGTAGATTCCATGCTACAGCCAGGTACAGCAGTTCTTCTGCTCCTGTGATCCTCCAAATGTTTTGGCCTACAACCCCCATCAGCCCCAGCAAACATAGCTGAGGAAGGATGGGGGCCATAATTTCTGGAGGGCCACAAGATGCTCACTCCTGCTTGCTACAGCATGCAGGACACCAGCTGACCTGCTCCGGTCTGCAGAGCACAACGCCTCTCACGCTGCCGCCTCTCAAACTGCACTTCACCGACAGTGCTGCCTTTCTCTGCCTGCTTAGCATGAACTGGCAAAGTTCAGCAGAAAGGTGCAGAGCACTGTGACTTCTGATCCCTTAATTTCCAGCCCTGCCTCTTACACTCAGACCCCTTTTGCTCACCGTTGCCCATCCACTGTGCAAAGGGACACGCCCCAGATGTCTGGATTACACTTTGCCAGCTGTGGGATGTAGTTTGCCACCTAGAAAAGGGAGAGATGCACTGGTGAGCCAACCATCATTGATTCAACCATCTGCCAATCTGACTTGAGGGAGGCTAAGGCAGCTTCCCTAGACTGAATAGCCCCAAGAGTGGTCCTGTTATTTTGAAAAGAACAACTGAGAATCTTGTGGCATCTGTTTTATATTCCCCTTTTCTCTGAGCAACAGGAAGTTCCAACAGAAAATTTTACAGCGCCAGGTTCCTTTGGAAGAGAGTGTGCTGGAAATGTGTAATGGCTTTTGTAATAACTATTTTTACAAGCAAACTTATAAAATAGGTGGAAGCATATTTTTAAAGCAGCTCAGTTCCCAGAGCTGCTGCTTCTTAACCATTACAGAAATTAAAATTGGTTTCTCCTCACCCATCAGCAAGTCCTCTCAGAGCACAAACTGCCCACTGGCATCAATGGACGTTTTCCCGCGGATGAAAATGGCAGCTTGTCTAGTGCTTGCTCACTCGCTCTCTCTCGCTCTCTCTTTCTCTCTGTGCATGGTTAGACTCTACTTTCCCCACCCTGCTTGCTTCTGCTACTGCAGAGGGTGGGGGAGTGAAGGTAAAGGTGGTAGTAGCTGCTATTTACTTAGGTTTTTAAAAACATGCACCTTAATTGCATCCAGGCAAAATTACATCTAGTTTGGCTTTATAGAAAAGCCTTGAGGGAAAGTCAGTTTGCATGTCCAGAGATCTACAGATTCACATAGTGCTTCTTTTGCTGAAGAGAGACTAGTAGTCTAAACATTATTCTGTATTCAAACATTCAAACAAAATAAGCAAGTCAGAAGGAACTCTTCTTAACATGCTGGATATTTATGTGCAGAGAATATTTTACATTCACATCAAACATGGGATTTCCCTTTGTTTTAGTTGGAATGGTACAGTCCAGTACGGGCCATCCCACATTATTCTGCTGATAGTGAAACTTGACTTTCTGCACAACCAGTTCTCAATGCAACAGATGCGCATCTTTTTCAGACTTTATTGCTCACATAGTCTTAACATCTCCCCTCTCATGGCTCCACTTTTTCGCTGCACCACGCAGCACAAACATGTGCTTCCTGTAAAAATAGGATGCTTCTACTACTGATGCTTTAGTTCCTTATGGGAAGATTGTGATGGATGTTGCAGCACACATGCCCTACCCACGCATGCAATGGCTATTGTTTGCAACATGATTAGTAACAAGACTTGCAAATGATCCCCTTTACCTAGCTATGCCACTTGGGAGGAGCCATAGCTCAGAGGCAGAGCACCTGTTTTGCATGCAGGAAGTGGCAGGTTCAATCCCCAGCACTTCCAAGTGCATCTGGGAAGACTTGGTCCTGCCTAAAACCCTGGAGAGCCATGTCCTAGATTATGTGCTCTCCTTGCTGTACAGTCCCAGCGCATAGGTGCTTGTCTGCCATTTTAAGGCAATGGGCATTCCCATGTCCCTTTCCAGCACAGCAACACCTGGCCCTTTTATGAACCTCTTATTTAATACTGGGGATGTCGGTTCAAAAGCTCCTTGAAGCTATGCATCCTTATCATCTGCAGGCAGGTTCACAGAAAGTGGCAGAAGAGAAGCAGGGCTCTCTCTCCCACTGTCTATTAGGTATGGATGAGGCTTGCAGGTGTTGTAACTGCTGTTTGCAAACCTTGCAGTGAAGCGCTAAGCCATTTACAGTAGATAACATCTTGGACTGCCAAATGGCCAGGGCAGAATCAGTGTTTCATGGACTGAGATGATGATCCCTCCTTTAATCAGGACTAGTTGAAGATATTTTGGTTTTTGAGGTTAGGCATTCAGATTCCATTGTCTCCCACTGATTTCCCCCCAAGAAAGAAAGTGGCCATTTAACAGCCTTTCATTGTTTTAAATCTGACCCCTATACCACTAGACTCATTCTGTCTAACAGTAAGACTAGCCATACTGCCAGCCAGCCTATCTGCCACCTTCTCTCTCCCTGCACACCTACTCCTGTTTCCCTGAGTGCCTTCACAGAGAATCTCTTGAAGTTGATAGAAGGACTGACTTGCTTTCATTTAGCCCCTGCCACACACTTCTCACACTTTCTTTCTACCTTGCCCTCCTGGAGTCCTTTGGTGTGCTCAAAAATTTGTTCAATGTGAGTTGTGAATTCCTGGAAGTCCGGGATGACAAATTTCTTCCGGAAGGCCTGAGTCAGCAGAACAATATTGCTGCTCACACACCTAAGGACAGAAGGGATAGATGGAGTGTTGAACATGGACGTGAACCATCCTTGCTCCAGTGCACCTTACTGTGCTCCATACCTCCGGAAAAGTTCTCGGTTCAATTTTCCACCTGTGCTGGCTTCGTGTGCTGCCTTCTGCATCAGACTCATACAGTCACGGAGGCGTGGATCTGAGGTCCAAAGGCCAGTGGCTTGCAAGGCCTGAATTAAGAGGACAATATTGATGAACGTATGGCCAGGTTATAAAAGCTGGAACTGCATATGGTTTGGTTGGGTGAATATGTAACTTCCATACTCTGTTTTTCCAGTGGAATTGTGCAGCTATCCGTAATCTACCTGGGCAACATCACCAAGTAACTACTTCTGCAGTGAGGGAATGCTTAGATTTTTCTATGCAAGGCTGTTAATTTGCTAGTCGTTTGCTTTATCTATTTTTCAGTGTTTCTTTTCCTGCTTTTCTACCACATAACCTCTAGGTGGTACTGTGCTGTAGCAGAATAGGAAAAAGAAACCATGCTTTCTTTCACTTTCATAATTAAATACAATATTTTTCCTCCTCTAAGATGCCCCCAACCAAAGTGCAAATTAGACACAGAAGCAAAGCTGAAGGGCCATTTCACTGTCTAAAGACCCCATAAACATCTCTAACTAAGGAAAAGTCATTGCTAATCAGCACTCAACATGGGGTTGCTGTGAAATACTATGTGCGTATCTTACATCATAGACTTAATCTGGTTCAATATTTATCCCCCTCTCCATTTTGTGAGTAGATATAGGAATCTCCAACTAGGAATTATTAATACCAGTAGCAAAGTACTTTCCTCAGGATTCTTAGCCATGGCAGTTAAGTTATATAGAATTGAAGAACAGAGATGACCACAAATTACTGCCATGTTTCAATATGTGGGGAAAGCAGTTGTGACAGCATCACAGAGGTGGCATCCATTGGAGGATGCCCACAACCTCATAGCAAGATATGCCACAAGTTTCTTTATTTTTAAATTTGCAACTATTGAGAAAAAACAGAGGGAACAACATGGGAATGAAAAAAGCAAAAACAGAACAAAATAGCATCTCCATTCTCAATAGCCATTCACAACACCATAACTAAAACTAACTAAAAACACAACTAAAATTTGACACTTCTATTTTAAATATGTATAGCAATATGAGCCGCCCATCTATCTAAATAAACATTTGCACAAAATAGATGATGGCATACATATGCAGCAAGAGCAGGAAGGTCTTCAGACCACTGAATGATAGGTGGTGGGTGTTTAACCTTCTATACTTGAAGTGTAAGTACAAGTTTAGCCTTCTGTACTTGAAGTGCAAGTCTCTTTGCAAATGTCAGGGCTATAAAATTCGAGTTCGGGTTCAGGTTCAACAAATTATTATGTTACTTTTATATACCCACTTTGTCCCTCTTGTGAGGAACCCAAGACAGCTTACATAACCTTCCTCCACTTCATTTTATCTTAACAATAGCAACCCTGTAAGGCAGAGAGTGACTGACTGGCCCAAAGTCTCCCAGTGGGCTTCATGGCCAAGTGGAGATTAGAACCTGGATCTCCCAGGCCCCTAGTCCAAGACACTAATTACCATACTGCACTTTTATTATTTAAAAGGGCATGAATGTCTACAATTATCATCAACTGTTCAAGAACAAAATGTCTATGAGCAAAACCTTCCAACCAGAAAGAATCCACTACAGCACATGCCCACATCAGCTGCTTTTTAACTAGTCACTGCAGCCTACAATAGGTATCAAACATTGTTTTTGTTGAATCAGCCCCAATTTCAAATCTACCGAAATAGTACATATGGAATATAGAACAACTTTCCACTGATTAGGTTATTTTGAGCATTCTAATTTCTGTTTCATTCCTCTCTAATGTTCTGAACATCCAGTTTATCACATTCCAAAAGACATTTAAAAACATCTGTTGCAGGGCTAGCATTCTGTAAAGAACCAATTCATTCTGTAACAATGTAGGAGGTGGTATTTTGCTTATCCACATTATCTTGCATGTTCCTGCCATTTTGAACTATGCTTTCCACTCCCCCTTCCCCCGCCCCACTTCATCTTCTGCAGTTTCAACTTGTAAATCCTCTTTTCCAGCAACATGCTAAACTATTGGTTGAATCTGCCCGGTCCATGTGCAGATACATGGCTTACTATGTGGTGCTCTACCTGTGCAGTCGCATGACAGGTAGTCACCAGTGGGCAGCTCCACGTTCGAATAAGGGCTGCTCCAAATGAGGCTTTTACTGTACTATCACCCTCATTCACAGAATTTCATGCAGGGTCCCGGCATCCTTGGCTCCCACTCGTAACCCCTTTGAGGACTGCTGGGAGGAGAGTTTCTTACACTGATGAATTTATGGACAGATATACATTCTTGCCCCTCAGCAACTGTGTAGAAGAGCAGGTCACCAAGCCGTGGTAACATCCCGTTTTCTGACACATCCCTGGGGAAAGATGAGAGTTACCACAGAGAACAGAGAACATTTCACCACTCCATATTTATTTACTTATTTAACATGTTTATCCGCCATTTTTCATGTAGATAGGCCACCTCCCAAGGTAGTTCACAGACTATTAATAAGTGGTGAAGACAAGTCCTTTCCATATACTTTAGCCAGTGCTGAACCTTACTTTGACACTGGTGGTGGGACAGCGCCTTCCTCTCCCTCGAGGGCAGTGGTCTAATTTAGGGGGTTCAGGGCAGGTTGCCTGGAACACTCAGTTCCAAACTCCTACAGAAGGAACTGGGCTGCTGTCACTGCTGCCCCCTCCACCCCATAAGTGCTACCTGAAGCAATTGCCTTGCTTTGCCTACCTTGTCTTTAACAGCATTTCACTTCTTAACTCACAAATATCAAATCCCTGAGAGAAGTGTAGATAAGTTGCTTGGAGAATACAATAGAGTAAGAGCTCATTGGTTTACTTTGTCTGACTCTTTCTGCACACCAAACATGAAGAAGTAAAGGAGAATGCAGGCGGCCTGCAGTGAAATAGCCAATATGAGCCAATCTATATGCATGAGAGTCATGTATCTGCGTTCCAAATGGCACATCAGACAGGGCATGGAGACATACGGTATAGGGTAGCCCAATTATTACTGTAGGAGAAAGAGATATATGCATTTCTGGTCCTTATTCAGGTTGTTCATCTGCTCCATGTCAAGAATCTAGGAATAAGGAACTGGGAACTAAGAACTGGTAGTAGTCTTGCCAATCAAATGGCAAGGGAAGCACTATGAAGGAACTCTCTTTCCCATCAACAGCCAAATGTGGTATGTGCATTGGCCTTAAATGAAGAAACTGTCTGTTCCATCCTTTGCTTTACCCTATCTGGAAAAAGGATTGATCGATTTGATAATCAACTTGCATTCCTTGTATTGGTAGAACAGCCATCTAGGAATGGCACAGATTTTCTGCCTTAGAATTATTTTATTTGCAAACCATCACAAAGGTAAATTCCTTGTCCACATAGTAAACCCCCCCCCCAAATAAAAGCCTAATAAGTGATTTCCCTCATTGACATTTTAGGTTGTATACAATTCTGTGGTTATGGGGCTAGTTCTACAGCAGCCCAAAATTTGGTTGGGAGCAGCATCAGGACCTATGCTCAGAATGGAGTAAGTGCAGGGGATACTTGCCACCTAACCATGCCTTATAGTGGAGGAAGTGAGAAAACAAAAATCAAGAGGCATTAAATGTAGGAGAGCCCCTGGATTAATGTATGTATCTGGAAGTCTGAAACCCCTTCTTTGCTCTGCCTCTGCACAAATGCGTCACTATCTCAAATGTGGAAAGCACAGGCAGTGCAAAACCCTGAGTGCGTCATGATGCTCATGATGCTCCTCTCTCTGTGCAGGTCTTATTTCCACCACACCTCCTTTTAACAATCATCAGTTCTCTTAAGAATGATTAGATTTGCTGACTGGTTATACAAAGAGATTAGACAAGTGAAACAGGATAGCAGCACTTGTGCAATGGATGTCACCTTGACTAGCTGTGTACTTACTGGTTCACCTACCCCTCTGCATCTGTAAGGTGTTGCAGATGCAAACAAAGGGTTGCCCTGTAGTGAAAGAACACTGATTATGTGTGAAGGGGCTTAAAGTGACCTGCACTATTCATGGTTCCTGGTTGAATTGAATCCCCACTTTGACATGGTGACCGATGGACATCACACCACACCACAGTGATATGACTCATGGCTCATGCATCCCTTACTGGTCTGTAAGCTGCTGCTGTTGCTGCTGTTGGTGACGGCCATTCAGTATCGCCGCTGCCTCTCTGCCTTGAGCCGAGTAGCCAGCTCTCCCAAAGCCCCAAGTAAGTATCATCTGCAAACGATGCTCTGCCTCTCTTCTGCATGGGTACTGAATTCCACGAGGCTGCAATACTCCTGGCACGAGCCTGGCTGCGCGCATGGCTGCAAGCAGCGAAGATCCGTGAAGACTTAAGAGTTTGCAGGCATCCGATGCGGCCAGGAGACAGCGGTGGAGAACGGGGCAGGTGGCGGAGAGTTGCAAGAATGCGCCCTACTGGCCCTTTAAAAAGAAAGACGATCGCGAGCCAGTGCAGGCGGGAGGAGCGACGAGCCAGGGAGCAGGGAAAGGGTGATCGGCAGCGGCCCTGTCCTATAAAGCAAAAGAAACGTAAAGTGGAGGGGAGCTAAACCAATGAGGAAGGGAGGGAGGGACTTTGTACGTTCTCACGGTGCGTTCCTCCCAGTGAGTCATCAGAAGATGCAGACAGTGTTTCATTTTGGATGAGGCTTTCCTAATCTGCTGTGCTTCAGGTGTGAGAGTTGTAGCCCGACACATCTGGAGGGCTACCAGTTGGAGAAGGCTGCTTGAGGCTCTGAGAGGCTCAAGAGGGTTCTCGAGCTGCGTCCCTCTTTATTTCTGGTTGAGTGAATATAGCTGGGAATCGCTATTTCGTTCAGAAATATCATCATGGAAAATGACACACTTTAAAATTGCCCCTTAATCACTGTCTAATCATCCGACTTGTGTTTTCAAGAGGGTAATTGTAAGGTTCTTAACTTGGTTTTTGGCAGGAAATCTGTAGCTGATTAAGCTTTACTGTTACTTTTAATCTGCATATAAGAATGTCCTTTTCTGTAAAAAATCTGAGTTTTTGGATGCAATCCTATACGTGTCCAGACACAAAAACATCTACGAGTCCCAGTTGGAGGCCCTTTTTCCTGTCCAAACTTGCTCAGCGTTGTGCCTTCAGGTGCTTGGCTCATTGCAGACATACTTGTTAGGTATGAGTGTGCTAAAGTAATGCAATACACGTGTGGTTCATTTCTGCATCTTCAGGTAGCTAATGGTTTCTTACAAGGCAGAATCTGTTGTCATCCCGATGTTTGTTGGACTACAGCTCCCATAATCCCCGGCCATGGGCTATGCTGACTGAGGGTGATCAACAACAACTGGAAGACTGCAGGCTCTCCACTGCTGTTATGTGGAGTCTTGTACTACTTCAAGCCAAGGGTTTTGAACAATCGCCATGCCTCATTCCCAGAATTTTACATATGGGTATGCATGTGTGATCCAGGAAACAGAAAACGTTTACAGTGGTACCTTGGCTCACGAACTTAATCCATTCCAGGACTCTGGTCATGACCCAAATTGGCCATGCACCGAGTCAAATTTCCCCATAAGGTTCAGTGTAAATAAGGTTAATCCGTTCTGTAATCATTTTTTTTAATCACAAAAATTTGAAGCAGGCACGCAGGTGGTGGGGAGATGGGCATGATTGCGATCGTCACCTGATGAGTTTGCAACCCGAGGCAAAATTTTTCAGAAATTTCAGTCCACAGCCCGATTTGGTCGTGAACTGAGGCATTTGTGAGCTGAGGTACCACTGTACTTCCATTTGTAACACTCTCATGCTTCATCTTGGTTTCTCCTTTCTCTTTCCACCTGAATCTCTGTTAATGTGGTGACTGAATAACTGCATAATTCTTTTTGATGGCAGACAGCAAAACCTAAAGCCATGTAGTAACATCCAACCTGTGCTGATGCTTTGCTGTGGCAGTTCAAGCTGGCAATCCCTTTTCTGTGATTACTCACTGAAGACATATAACCACTGTTGTTTTAATGCAAGGATAGAAAAAAAATTATGTCCTGACTGTACAGAAAAAAATGTCACCCCATCTGCATCAAACCAATGGCGGGTACATGTAGGGCAACATTCTTTTCCAGAAAGAGAGTAATCTGTGTGCTGGTAGTTGACCAGGCCAAAACCCAGTGGACTGCTGGGAAAGAGGCTGCCCATTCCTGATTGCTCATGGGCTTTGGAAAGTAGAGCCACAGGGGTCCCTCTCTCCACCCCTTCCCCTTTAATATATTGCAATTCAGTATGGGTGCTTCCCAAAGGAGGGTTCCGAGTGCTCCCAACCAGAAGGTATTATGCAGCTATGTCATCTTTTTTCCTCCCTTAACCTGGATTCCTCACTAAAAGAAAAAAGACAAAAAAAGAAGCAGCATAAAACGTGGGAGGGATGTTGTGAATGAGGGAGAAGAATGGTGTAATAAGAGCCTCATCTGGAAGCCCCTGGAAAATGCACATGGAACCCATACCTGTGTTCCCCCATATTATTTTTTTACATGTGAGATTCCAGGAAGACTGGCTCCAGTATATCCTTTTCATCCAGCTTTTCCTGACTCCTTCAGTCCCATGTAAGCTACATATGCCAATCCTATGCAGAGGTGAGTGTGTATCAGCCTCTGAAATCAGTGGCTTAGGAGCGCCCAACTCTATAGGGTTGGACTGCTAGCTGGGATTTAGCCCTGTTGCACACGGCAAGATTTGCATCTGCGTGAACATTCACAGAAATAGTCTGCAGGACAATGTTTCCGTCATCTAGGTGTAAGGCATGCCATCTCCATTGCACCAACTGGTTGCTCCAGATTTCTGGATGATGTAGAAGCATGTGCTTTCATTAATATTTGTTCAAATTTGTAACTTAAACTCTTCTTATGAATAAGTGTCAGTTATATTTCACTAGATGTCATCCCAGCTAGAAGCAGATTGTTACTGGAGCATGTAGAGACTATTTCATTTTTGAAAGAAGACAGCACACTGGTAACTTTTCAGCTGTGGCAAAACCAACAAGGAGTTGAGCACATTTACTATGGCACAGACTTCTGAGACTAAATCATGAGTTCTGCAGTAGAAGTATGTTGTGCATTGCCAAAGGTATAGCTAATGATTTATGAATGCTCCCCATGGAAAAATCCTGGACAAGAAGAATGAGCCTAGCCTAAGCCTTTTGCTGCTGTGCTAATTTTCTACATTCAGGGAGCTGCTTGCTACAAACAAAGCAGGAAGCTTTCAAAATATGATTCCTTTCTTCAGTCTGAAATGGTGCAGATTATCATTCTATCATTTCCATACTCAAATCATCTCATTATTCTTCCTTGGCAGATCTAGACAGACAGACAGACAGACAGACAGACACACGCGCGCGCGCGCACGCGCGCACACACACACACACACACACACACATCTTGTAGATCATACATCTGTTACAGAAAAGCAAGTCAAAGATACTGTGACAGCTGGTCAGAAATGTTGGAGGTTAACAGAGTAAATAGAACACTTTCTGAAACTACTTGGATTAATTATATTTTTAAAAACTCACGCACATAAGTCATTAGCTACAAAGCTATGTTTAGACAACCCACTAGGTGGCAATAGTTCTTGTACTTTGCAATAGAGCCAACATTTTCCCCTGGTCTTTCATGAAGAGAATTCTCAGGGGAATATCAGCTCATACAGTTAGACAATAGACAGTTGCTCATACACAATTTCATAATTTGAGGTACTGAACTGAAAATAAGAATGCAAAACCTTTTATAGATGTTACTTTATCGTGATTCTCATGAGGACTAGCAACTTCTCAAAACAAAACAGATACTCTTTTTTTGGAGAAAAGGTAGTACCAATACATTCTGCACTTTATACCCAGGAGCTTAGTTTTATGAAGAAGTAAGCATACTTAAGCCTACTGATTCAACAGGCTAAGCATAATTAACTTTGCATAAGATCAGGTTGCATATTGTGTGAACATGTAGATTTTTCAATATTTATTTATTTTTCGATTTATATCCTGCCTTTTTCCTACAAAGCGCTCAAGGCAGCTTACATCTCCTCCATCTTATCCCCACAACAACAACCCTGTGAGGTAGGTTGGGCTGAGAGTCTGTGACTGGCCCAAAGTCACCCAGTTGGCTCCATGGCTGAGTGGGGACTCGAACCCAGATCGCCTGAGTCCCAGTCCCATGCTCTTAACCACTACACCACACTGGCTCTTAATTCCTGGGTTATGTATAGTTTTCTCTCTTTCTCCCAATGATTCTTTTATGCTCTTTAAAAATGTAAGTTATTACAAACCATTGTTTCTAAATGCTGTGGAAATAGGTGTATGTATACGTGGTGACAATCCTATGCATTATCACTCCCCTAAATAAGGTTCATTGCATACAGTGATGCTTATGGAACCCCTGCTGAACGAAAGGACAATTTGACCTGCCTGCAAGGCCTCAGTCAGCTGCTCTTGCAAGTCAGGGCTCTGCACATTTTTGAGTCACTGGCCGCATTTGAAATATTGAGAGAATGTCATGGGCACTCACACAAAATGACCACCATGGAGGTAGGACTTGCCCATTCATAAAATGGCTGCCATGGTTGAAATGAAATAAAAACACTCATTTCCAGAAGCCAAACTAGCAAGGTGAATAGAAAAGTAACTTGCCCAAGAACCTAAGTAGAAAAAAGCTGAGGTGGGATATGAACTCCAGAACTCCAGAACAAAACAAATACTCTTAACCAAAGGCAGTGCTTTGTTTTGCGGTATACCAGATTCCATTTTTGTACTGCTTCATTGTTCAAACAACCTCAATAAAATAAAAATCTGGAGTGGCAGGGAGCCAAATAGGAACCAAGGGAAATATTCATGGCTACATTCATATGCAGAAGCTCGGCATGGGAGACTCCTGGAAAGGGCCGGCTCTGTCCCCTGGTTCTAGCTTAGGGTGGTTAAAGTGGGGAGACAAACTCCTGAGCTATTCATAGCTATGTGGAAGAGGGCATGTCCGTGCAAATGGCTTGTATGCCAAGCTACACTGCTGAAATTCCCTCTTTCATTCAACAATTAAGGGTGCAATAGTTATGTCCTCTTTTGCATCTGGCCTGCCCTTGGATCTGCTCTGGGTTTTGCTACCTTACCGAGAAGGCTCTTGCCCCTACACAGCAGGAGAATAAAACCTTGAAGAACTGGAAAACTTCCTGGTAGCTTCAAGTGTTTGGACTAATTAATACAAAGGCAGATGAGCTTCATATTAATTTTAAATGCTTATTACAATTCTTTTAAAACAAACAAACAAACATTTGTTTGTTAAACAAACATTTCAGGCTAACTTTGCAGGTCTTTGCTGTT